ACAAACAAAAAGCGTTCATGCACTAACTAGCTTATCAAAGTCTATTTGTTTGTCCAACCCAGAAAAAAATAACGCTCTTTGAAAGTCTAGACTTATTAACGGGCGTTATATTTATCGTTTAACATCGTTTTGGATGTCCAAGGGGCGGTTGAAAAATGGAGATGAACCTATACATTTGATCGCCATCTTTTGGCCAATTTCGTAAAAACTGCACTTAATGCTTTTTGAAAGTCTGCTCCTCATATATACTATAGTGTTAGTTGTAAAACAATTCTATACATATCTTGGTTGAGATCATTACTGATCTGCCATATCATATAATCATGATTTGATGTGAGAGAGCCTACTTCTCAACCTACGTAGATAATGTACGACTATTGTATAACATTAATTTGAATACAGATATGTAGCATGTAGTGTGCTGCTAGTGCATTTGAGGTTATGTGTGGCTATGGAGTTTGAATTTTTATCCAACTCTGAGCATATTCTTCAAAACTACACCGTATTTCACGAGTATCCATCACGCCTTGACACCTGAGGTGAACAGCTGACCAGCTAGTGATGAACATTTTCTAAATAAAAGAGCTTTCAGCAAGTACAAAATGAATCTGGTAGCCTACAATATGGGGAATTTTGAAATATTACTAGATAACCAGCTGTCATTCTACCATGATGGATACTCGTGACATAGGGTACATACATTTTTTCAGGGCCATTTTGAGTTTATTTTACATTTGAAATGATGTCTACCAAGTTGCTCAAAATGACAACTGCTTTCATCAAAACATGAATATAACTGTTAAAAAGTCAAAATCAGTAATTTCATGGTCACCTGTACTGCCCTACTAACAAAAATTTTCAAAAATTGAGACATTTGCACCAAACGAATAATCATGATTTATGCTACATATTTACATACAGAAAACCTCGTATTTTACATTTTTAAATGTTTTATGAAGGAAAATAGTTTCCCCGTAAACGCCAAAAATTGCATTTACACTTAGTATAAACCACGCATATCACATTTTTTTAAAAAGACCCTGGTATGTACTCAGTAGGTACGGGCTTTTAACTAAGGGAAATCTATATGTAGGTATTTTCTAAGACAGTTGCCGCCAACCCGTCGATGGCGCAAAGGCAATTCTGGTGGCTCACAACGTATTTTAAAAAAATCATAAAAGCTTCCGAAAAATTTGTAAATTCTCATAATACAAGCAGCGGCAACACTGCGGTGAGCTATCTGTTCGAGAACGATCTCAATTATTTTGAACGGAATAAATACGCAAGGCGCGGCGACAGGGTGCTCAGTTTAAAACTGAACGGCACAAAGTCCAGCGGTTGGGTTAGAATTGGCCTGCAATTAAAAATATTTTGAGCAGTAGTAAGATGGAGATATACCATTTCCATTCGGAATGGAAAGAACAGTATATTTTTACAGAAGTTAAAGGTAAAAATGTATGTTTGTTATGTAATACATCTGTTTCCGTTGCTAAAAAAGGAAAAGACACTATAAAACTGTACATTCGAATTTTGAAAAATCATTCCCATTACGTTCTGCAACCAGAACGGAAAAACTGAAACAATTAAAAAATCAATTAACTGGAGAAATGCCAATGTTTTTAAAAACAATCGTCAAAAGTAAGGCTACAACTGAAACATCATACCGGGTGTTCCAGATAATTGCACAAAAGAAGAAACCTTATGAAGACGGGGAAATGATAAAACAGGCGTTTTTAGAAGCTGCAGATTTATTATTTGCCAACTTGAGAAATAAAGACGAGATAGAGTCTGCTATAAAATCAATGCAACTTTCATACAGTGATGAGACGAGTAGAAGTAAAGAGCAATAATATAGTTTTATAGTTAAGAAATTACTTCCATAACTGTGCTTATTTACCACTGCAGCTGGATGAATCCACAGATGTCGTTGACACCTCTCAGATGGCCGTGTTCGTCAGGATGGTTTTTAGTGATTTTACGATTAAAGAAGATCTTTTGAAGATTATTCAATTAAAAAGGACATACTACTGGGTAGGACTTATTTTCTTCTTTTAAAAATATTATTTCTTCTGAGAAAATTCCAATATCGAAAATGGTAGGCTTGACAACCGATGGCGCTCCAGCTATGGTGGGTCGTGATAAGAGTCTCGTGGGGTTAAGTTATAAAGACGACAGTTTTCCGCAATTTCTCGGTTACCTCTGCATTATCCATCAGCAAGCATTATGTGGACATTTTCTAAAACTAAACAACATTATGAAATTGGAAGTAAAAATTGTGAACAAGATTAGAGCTCAAGTGTTACAAAGAAGATTATTCAAAACCTTGGCCGAAGAAATTGACTGTCAATACGGATAAATACTTCTTCACTCTGAAGTCCCATAGGAGACATGTGCTGGAACGTTTTAATGACATCATATCTGCCATAGTTCAATTTTTTGAACAACGTGATGAACCGATTCCGGAACTGGAAAATTCAATCTGGCTTAGAGATTTTGGTTTTCTTGTGGATATTTCAGAAAAAATAAATGAACTTAATTTGCAGCTACAGGGGAGAGACAAAGAACTAGCTGAAATGATTTCTGAAATAAAAGCCTTTATCAAAAAGCTTGAGTTTTGGAAACAAAACATAATCGATGCCGATACCAGGCATTTTCCTGTTCTTTCAGAAAATATATAATAAGTCCATTAGAACCATATGACAGTAAATATCATGTATAAATAGTCTCTAACTTGAAGGACAACCTCAAAAATCGTTTCAAGGATTTCAACGAAATTGCTATAGTGGCGCAATTCGTTGTTCCACCGTTCATGGAAATTGATAACCAACAGTTTGCAACTTCTCTTACGCAGAATTTTAGCGAAGACATCGCTGCGACAGAAATGGAAGTTATTGCGTTTCAAAATGATTTAGCTTTAAGATCATTAGTCTCAAATACAAAATGTATCTGGCCTTCAGTAAATAAAGATAAATATTCAGTTTTATGTAGTGATGCCTTGAAAGTGAAAGCGTTATTTAGTTCCACCTATTTGCAGGTAAATATTCTTTTTCAAATATGAAGTTTATTAAAAACAAATACCGTAATTGACTTACTGATGAACATTTGGATAATTGTATTCAAATGGTGGTATCAAATTATACTCCAAACATTAAAAAGTTGTCAGTGAGTCTGAGTGTCAGGCTTCTCATTGAACACGCATTTTTTGTCTGGACATGTTTGTGTTTAAAATAGTGTGCTGCTCTTTTTTATTTCTAGTTACCTTCATTAAATCGTATGTGACATGCCACTGTAGCTGACGAAAATTTTTGTTTATTTTTCACACACCTAGGATTGGTAGAAATGGATATAATTATGTAGTATGTACGAGTTATTAGTTTATTTGAGTTTATTGGTGTATTTACAGACGTAAACTCACTCCACTAACGGAATTTGTTTCACGAACATCTGCGGGATTAACAGCAACATTGATGCTGTTCGTCACTACTTGCAATCCAATCGTCCCGCCATGCTTTTCTTGGCGGAGACAAAAATCTAAGTCTCCACCAATTAACCATCTTAGCTTCCCAAATTACGAGGTGCACTCTAATCTGAGAAAGAATGGAGGAGTTCAGGCTATTTTCCACAGCAGTATTTCCTGCTCTAGAGATGTTTCTTTGGAATCAGACTGGACATCCTTCAAATGTATTTGCCTTTATCATTCTCCCTCGGACCATAACTGGGAAGATCCTACTTCAATACCTCGCCATCAAGATCGACTTCCTGAAAATCAATCACCCCGCTTCAGAGGTAGTTCTCCTCGGTGATTTCAGTGCCCATCATGAGCTTTGGTTGGGCTCAAACAAGACCAATGCGGCAGTTTGCGCAGCTGAAGCGTTCGCTCTTACTCAATGGTTGACCCCCGCGTCTCGTCACATGACAGTATCCTGCTGGATCTCTTTCTGACCATGCAGCCTGTCCCTTACAGCACTGCTATCATGTCCCCCTGGGTAACTCAGACCACGGTGTTGTGGATGGTAGGTTTCGGTCAGAACCCGCTGTGGCAGCAGAAACTCGTACAGACCGCAAAATTTGGCATTACGGACATGCTTCCTCAACAAAATGCCATGATCTAGTTTATCGATGGCTTTTAAAAAAATCTATATATGCAACATTTACTTGTGCTCCCTCATCAATACTTTCTGAGCAAACATGCTAAATTAGTTAACGTTGACCTTCCTTGGAAGAAGCTGTGCTGGCTGGGTGAAGTCTCTCGCTTAACATGGGAAAAAATTATATCATGCAAAATAAATTTAAAAAGCTTGCAAACACTGCTTATAATTAGGACAGGACTATAATTTTCAATCACTTTTTTAAAAATTGGAGCAATCCTAGATGCTTTTCATACCATAGGGAACATAGAAGTTTTCAGAGACAAATTAAAAAGATGAACCAAAGGCTCATAAATTTTTATTATAATTACATAGTTAAAACCAAGCATAAGCTGAATTTGAATTATACATGGTTTTAACTAGATATTCTTAACATAGATATGGGGGGCCTTTCTTGATAAGGCAGTGTACCTCAATAGCTTTTTCATATGCCACAAAATATGTTTCAATAATTTTCTTGATTATTGTCGCAGTAATAAACATTCGATAACTCATATTGTAATAATGATTTGTTATTTTATGGGAGATGCTGCAGAGAAAGCAAATTTAAATAGCCTATATCAAGTGTATCATTGGTTTAATCAATAAAGGAATCTGGAATGACAATTAATGGCAGATCACAATTTTGCTACTCCCACAATTCTGGAATTTATAAAAGTTTTATGAATGATCAGTTTACACTGAGGCATTGGTTCTACTCTCAAATATTGTGCTTATAAGCATTAAGCAATACATGTACTAATCTACAAGGAGGATCTGCAACAGTAAACTATGCGCAATATGCAGCTTCTAGTCGCGTTTCTATTGTAGTGACTAGTGCAAGTTGCATGGTTGTGTTATCTGCATACATACCTTTATTCTTAATGCACAGATCCAGTGCTGGCACTATAGATTCGTATCCATTCCATAAAAATTTACTGAGTTTCCTATGAGTGTGCCATGTGGTGATTCACATGAATATGAAAGAAAAGCTGTTTTTTCAGGCATGCGGATTTTTTTCCTGTTCTTCGTTGGATAGTTCAGAGTTCAGACTTCAGACACAGAGGTTGATCTCTAAAAAACTGATAGCATATATGACAGTAATCAAATCCAAGCGAATAACCAGAATTTCTGTGTTATGTGCCGCGGTTATAATATGGTTCAAGATGACACACGGGTTGATGACGTCATGTACACGAAACGCTTGAACGCGTTGGTTTTAACCGCGGTTTTGTTGCAAGTTGTTTATTTTATAAAAGCGCGTATATAATCTCTGATTATTTTTATTATCACTTAATAATCGGTGCTTTTTCGTCTACAACGGTGTATGGAAATTTTAAATAAGAAACCTTTCATAATATTCATGGGAGAAATGTTTTTTTTTTCAGAAAAAATTTTTTAATGATGGAACCATGGTTTTGTAGCTATGATTACTTTCAATTCTCTAAAGTTTTCCGCATGTCAAAGAAGTATTTATTGATTTATTTATTGATTTAGCAGAAATGATGGAAAAGCGATGAAAAAAGATATTAGCACAACCGTATACAGGTAGACATCATCCAGTGAGTTTATATGACCATATTATAATATTCTTGTGGTATATGGCTACACAGGATACTTTGTTAAGCATAGGAACTAGATTTGAAGTGTTCCCAACAACAGTAATGAGTATAACTAATAAGGTGCTCCACTTTATGCTAACACTGAAGTCAGCCTGTATCAAGTTTCCCAAATGAAGCTGAAGTCACAAAACACCTGTGGCTGAAGTACAATAACAATATCCAATACCCGACAAAATTCTAACTTGTCACATTTCAATAATAACCAGAAATATAAAACTACTCCTGAGTTGGGTAAATACCACAATTTTAATCAAATTCAAGCGGATAACCAAATGGAAATGGTATTTACCATTCTGGGTTGGTATTTACCAATCCGTTCAAGCGAGTGTAGTTATCAGTTTGGTTATAAGATCCGTGACGTCACGAATCAGCTGTTATATGTCATAGTTATCACCGCAAAATTGTGGTATTTACCCAACTCAAGAGTAGTTTTATATTTCTGGTTATTATTTGAAATGTGACAAGTTAGAATTTTGCCGGGTATTGGATATTGTTATTGTACTTCAGCTTCATTTTTGAGAAAAATGATACAGGCTGACTTCAGTTTTACCATAAAGTGGAGCACCTTATTAGTTATACTCATTACGGTTGTTGGGGACACTTTAAATGTAGTTCCTATGCTTAACAAAGTATCCTGTGTAGCCATTTACCACAAGAATATTAAAATATGGCCATATAAACTCACTAGATGATATCCACCTGTATACGGTTTTGCTAATTTCTTTTTTCATCATTTCTGCTGAATCAATAAATGTTTTCTTTGACATGTGGAAAAATTTAGAGAATTGAAAGTTATCATAGCTACAAAGCCATGCTTCCATCATTAAAAAAAAATCTGAAAAAACATTTCTCCCAAGAATATTATGAAAGGTTTCTTATTTAAGCTTTCCATATACAGTTGTAGACGAAAAAGCACCGATTATTAAGTGATAATAAAAATAATCAGAGATTATATACGCGCTTTTCTAAAATAAACAACTTGCAACAAAACCGCGGTTAAAACCAACGCGTTCAAGCGATTCGTGTAACTGACGTCATCAACCCGTGTGTCATCTTGAACCATATTATAACCGCGGCAGATAACACTGAAATTTTGGTTATTCGCTTGGATTTGATTTTTGTAGTGATAACTATGACATATAACAGCTGATTCATGACGTCACGGATCTTATAACCAAACTGATATTATAACCACACCCGCTTGAACGGATCGGTAAATACCAACCCAAAATGATAAATTTGGTAAATACCATTTTCATTTGGTGATCCGCTTAAATTTGATTAGTGTCAGATTGACTGACACACAAAGAGTGACAGTGACAGTTACAGAAAGTCACAAAGCAATTTATAGAAGAAAAACTTATCAGAAAAAACTCCAAAGGAAAAAAACGTTCGTATTAGCTCACGTATTAGTTTTTCCATCCTAGCTGTTTTTAAATGGTTAAATGATCAGTGTCTATAAACGGAGCTTTCGGCTCTGAAAATGTTGATCGCATCTACTAAATGTTTGTTTTTAAATATTTTTGAACTTTTGTATGTTGAATTTTCATCGTCATTAACTCACGAATTAGCCAGAGGTCGCAATATTTAACTTCATATAAACGTATTGTCGTAACACTTTCTACTTCAAATCTGTAATTTAAAACAGCAAATGCGTTTGCAATAAAAATAAAAATTAAAACAAATCAATACAGTGGATCAAAACTTTTATTTTTATATGTTTTGTCGGGATGTTTTGTTAAAGATTTCGTCAAAGGAAAATATTCTGAAAACCAAATTTGTCTTACGGCTCGAGTTCAATGTGTACGAGAGTGAAGTGTGTATAGACGTATATGTTAGAGAGATAATATAAGTCGTCTAGTTAGCGAAGCTCATCACCGCGTTATCTGGCAACGCTGACGCGGAAATTTGCCGCGTCGCCAATATGTTACACACCTGTTCTTTGAATTAAGATGCATGTCGAAAATATGCGTTAGTTCATTCTCTACGCCAAAACAATGGTTTTATTTTTAACGCACACATTTTTAAATTGTGAAGCCTGTCGAATCTGTTTAGGATCGATTCTGGATCGGTCCTAACGGCGCTTTGTTTTAGGTCGAAATGAAACGTCAGGATCGCTACAAATTCTGTAACATTGCATCATTACTTCGCTTGGCAACCCCGCATTCCGTGTATTCCAAGGCAAGGTTTCCACCTCCATGATCATATATGAGCGATTTTGGTCAGTACCCATCTAGTGCTCATTGGGGATTGTCGTCCTGGTTCGAAATGGTTTTCACCTGCGAACACGCAGGAAGTAATAATTTGTATTGCGTAATGAGATTTTTTAGATTTTCCGACCGCTCACTGTCGCAAAATGTAACAATAACTCAGGATGTGCTGATTTTATCATAATCTGTGGAAATCAAATATTATTCTAAGCTAAATTAAAACACTAAAGTCGAATCAAAATTCAAATAAATAATTCTAATCAAAATGAGAACAAAATCTTAAATTAAATGTTCGAACAGACTTCCTACTTGCGTTTGATAGTAATCTAACCCATTGAACAAGCCTATGCGAACACGGCAGATTGCAGGACCTTTTGCTCCGCTGCTAGGCCATGTTGTGATGACCTCCGCTCTTCAGTGGGCGTATATCTCTTTCTAATATGTGTTAATACACACTTCTCGCTTTATCTCTCGTACACTTTGTACTCAAACCGTCGCAAAAATTTGGTTTTCCCTGTATACTTTGGTTAAATATTCTAAAATTGGCGAACATTGAACAAACATTCCAAAATTGCGACTTAGGGATTATAAAAACAACACAAGTGTTAAAATAAAAAGGAAACTTTCACTGAAAATATAAAATACATATATGAATGTGTTAAAATATTTGAAACAAAAACTTCTATAGATGCGGACAACCTGAAATCTTTGGGAGCGAAAACCCTGCCTTTAGACTCTGATACTCTCGTCAACCGTATGTTTCTTCTAGATAGAAAATTGTGTCAAAGATTAATTTTAATATTTATTCCAAAGGTGAAATGGAAATGGCAGAGGATATACTTGTCTCCAATGCATCTACAACCGTGCCTTAGCTGTCATATCTGTTATCTTAATTAACGTCTTGGGTAAGACGTCAGTGGTTATCTTATTTTGGTTGTTCTGTGAACGCCGCTAGACGCGCAAGCGCATTCAGTTGATGTCCGAGCGTGGTAGTTGACTCACGTGTGAAAAATTCTGATTTTTGTCAATATTTGCAAAAAGTAGTTCATATAATACAATTAGCCTTACTCCAAACAGTGCTTTGAGATCTCCGGATTAACTTACATCTCAAGTTACAGTGCAGTTCTACGTTGTTCAGAAGATATCAGACAAAATATGTATGGTTTTTCTCCATAACCTATAAGTATAGCATCTTGAATTATTAGGTGTTTATCACGTAAATGACCGGTAAATCAGAAGATTTCCTTATCGCGGTAGTGTCCTAGCAGGTAAATCAACTTAACCAGATGGCCTGTAGTAGGAAGCAACAACATTTCCAGTGAACATTTTCTTCTACCGCGTTGTCTGTCTTTGACATTGTAACATTATGGATATAGATTTGTTCAGAGACGAGGAACAGTTCTCCACCTATCAAAACAACTATCTGGTGAGTACAATATACATTTTCAGGTTGTTGTGAATCAAACTGCGTTTTTAAATTTCGGACATTAACCTCATCCTACACTGTATATTATGGGTTATTCTTATTTTCGACAAAAAAAAATATTTTGGCGGGTAGAATCCTAATTTGTAGGTATGCATTATGAAATATTTTACTTCCTCCTATATGATGGAGAGCAATGTGCTGTAAGATTTGTCATTGTGTAGTAGGTTGCAATGTCAATGAATTAATGCAAACATCCTCTGTTTAGAGCATAAAGACTATTGAAAAAAGCCAATATAAAGTGCTGCCTTATTCCGATAGACTTATACTCTGGGTGGAGAATATTTGCTCAGCTTTCATTCATCGACCTACCTGAGACCAAGCCTAGAATATGCTGAGCAAAAATACCACAAAACAGCTGTTTATGGTGGCCATCTATGGTCTGAACACAAGCTATATTATTAGTATGGAGGAGTGAGTTGATCTGTTTCCTTAATTTCATATGGCATTGTGACATAACCACCAAAAACTGCAAAAAGACATACTTATAGGTCTATTAACACTAACTTGTAACAAACAGTTTACCAAGACCATAGTATCCATGCTTTATTTATGGAAGTGGCATATCACAAATTGAGATATATTTTCCAAAGAATAGGAATTAAACTGAAATCATGATAATAAGTCACTTCAATTTTTTTTCCTTGTCACTGAAAATAAGAATGTCCCAAATGTAACTTGTAAAAGATGTAAAACTTTCATGGCCTGATGAAAATCATGTTATTTTTATGCTTTGTTTAAGTACATTCAATAGTTATTGAAGACTTCAATGCAATACAAGTCCAGCTAACTATTTTGTGAAAGGCAGAACTATAGTATGACATAGAAGAATTATATGAAAAAACATTTTTCTTTGCTTCAAAATATTTTCTGTATAAGTGTAACTCATTCATGCGTTGGAGTTTCCATTGATGTCTATTAATTGAAAAGAATAACTGTAGAAATTTAGCTCGCTTGAATAAATGGTATTTTTTTTGTTTGTACAACATTTTTTAGATACATCATAATTGAAGACACAACTGGATAAAGGTGTCATCTAACAAAATCATTGTATGGAGAAAATTGACTTTTAAACATTTTTTATTGGGACTTTTCACTTTATTGACATTTTGACTATTTAGTTTAATTAGTTTGTTATTATCTTGGTTTTGCAATAAAATAATCACAGAATGAAAGAATCACTCCTTAGATTAGTTTAATGCTATAAAAGCGATTTTTAAAAAATGTTACATGACACCTTTATCTACTTGTGTTTTCAATTATTACTTATAATCAGATTTTAAGTATATTGTTTGATAATTAAAACAACAAAAAACTTTTAGTTAACAGTATTTTTGTCACTTGGTATTAAGTTTGGATTTTCTATTACTATAAACAAGATTGCCAAGTTTCTTTTGAACAATATATTTACATGAGTGTGATTTTGAATTGCTTATAATTGTAAGTATATTCCATCCATTGTCTTTTTAATAAACATTTTTTTTCACACAGGATTTGGATGTGTCTACAAGCCCTAACAATTACTCTAATTCAGATAATGTATATCAGTGGAATTATAGCACTACTTCAGAGTAAGTTATTATAACATATGTATAATGGCTAGTATCATATTAATACCTACTTTTGTGATTTTTAGTATATGTGAAGAACTGGAAAGTACCAGTCATATAAGTACTGGTAATATAAATTCACCACCTAAGGAAGATCTTCAAAAAATCATGAATGAGTGGCAGCAACTATTAAACATGGATGTAAGTACTAGAACTTTAGTTTTTGAACACATAATTTGATTAATGTTCAAGTAATTTTATGCTAACAATAACAGTGTAATGAAAATGAGTAACAATATAAACAGGAAGTTACATTTTTATCCACTACTGGATTATATCTATAACAGAATTTTGTTCTTATTCATACAAAAAATGAGGACATATAGAATTACAAGTTACTTTTAATATCCCAATATTATTTATTATTGTTATTTGAATTGTTATGTAGGAAGTTAAACTGGTACACAAGCATTTTTTGCCTATTTTTTTAGTACTTGCTTGTCTGCATATAGTTATTACTATCACTGCTCTTACATACATTATTGTATAATACTAATAAAAGTTTATATTTCAGCCTCTTTGTGATGATTTTTCAATAGAAGACGCTCTCACAAACACAACTGAACAAACAGAAGATGAAACCTCATCCCAAGAACAATCTTCACTGGATGAAATTCTTGATGATCCTAACACTAGTCATTTTGATATCACTGAGTACATCAACCAAGATGCCACAAAACCTAAAACTGCCCAACCTAGTCACAGAATTAGAGCAGGATGTAAAAAAATTGACTTAAAAGCACAAAGATATATAATTGAAGATGATGAACCAGAGGTGGATGTTGAGACAGTCTCAGATAGTGAAGATGGTGAGGCATCCATCAAAAAAGAATGTACAGACAAAGTTTGTGATGATAAAGTTAAGGCTGAGAGTGTATATATTGAGAAAAAACATATTGTGGTGAAAGAAGAAGCTTTAGAAGAAGCAAACAATTTGGATGTGATGGAAAAAGACAGGGTAGTTAAGGATAGTTTTGTACAGGAAAATGGTAAGACTGTAAAAAGTGAGAATGTGAAGAAGGAAGTATTCCCAGAAATAAAGAAAGATGTTTGCAAAGTGAAACAAGAGCCTAGGATAGTGAATAGGTTGGTTGAGGAGAAAAAGTATGATGGTAAGTTGTCAAAGCTAATTTTATCTAACATTATTTTTCCAGATAACTGTAACATTCACATTAAATGAACTTTTATGACATTAAAATAACATAGAAAGAAAATATCCGGCTATTTTATTGTACTCTGATCTTACAAATTATAAAAATGATTACTTTCAGCAAAGTCATCTGTCAAGACCATAGAAGTGAAAGCATGCTCAAAAATGTCAAAATCCCAATCAACTTGCCCCAGCGAACAAACCTCAGAATCAACTACCTCAATGGTAAAAATGGGAATGCAGCAAACCTCAAAGCTACCTCAGGTTGGTGTGCTTACAAAAAATTGTTTTGCCATTACAACTGCCTATGCTCATTTAGAGCATTTAATTATGTGGTAACTCCACCTGGAGTTCTCATATTTTTGGTTCAATATCTCTTAATGCTAGCTACTGATTCCCTTTCTGGTTGGGCAATCAGTAATGGTTTAGCACAAATGATATTAGAACCTGTAGTCTAATTGAATATGTTTATAATCATAATTTTTAAATGGCAAAACTACGATAAAGCAGTCTTGTATGTGCAATATAATGGTTTGAATTGTTTTGCAAACAGCAAAAAAATGCACCATTGCTTCCACAAGACCTTCTAGATCGAATGAAGGAATCTGCAAAGAGGAAACCAATATCAGTGATTCCTCCAATTCCTGCCAAAAGAAGACATGGTAACAGGTGAGTTTTCATTTTCCTCCTACTTTAATTATACAGGCTGCTCAGAAATCTTGGACATTACTTTTCAGAAATAATTAAGGTAATGTGCAGCATCAAAAAAAATAAAGAAAAGTATTCACTATTTTATAAGACGTTTCTTGTACCAACCTGTCACATATTTTTTCGATGCTGTTGCCATTCTATTCAAGAACAGAGGTTTGTTAACATCTTCTTTAATTCGCTACATTTGGGACTGTCTAGTTCTACTGTGCCCACGTCAATGTTCTTGTAAACGATCTTTGTACGAGATATACCTAGAGAGTGCGCTTGATGAAAACGTCCTGAGAACCGATCTGAATACACTCGCAAGCATCAGCATCATCTCGACTACACTGAATACATTAATTAACACTAAATCAACAAATTGTTTATTAAACTGCTGTCTTGATTCGGGTCTAAAGGCCGCCGTCGGTCGGAATTTCTTCCTAACGTTTCGCTAGCACGAGTGGCAAGCTTCTACATCCAGCATCGGAAATGGAAGGACTTCTGAAGAAGCTTACCACTCGTGCTAGCGAAACGTTAGGAAGAAATTCCAGCCGACGACCCGAATCAAGACAGCAGTTTATCAAGCGAAAGCCTTAACCAATTTGTCAAGTTGTATATTACTGTAGGAATGTGCCATTTTCTTTTTTTTTTTAATTCGATTTTCAAAGAAACTGCTTGCTTTATTGTAAAGGACTGCATTCATGTGTTAGTGACTTTCTTCTATTTTCAATATGATTATAAATACCAATTCCTACCCGGAAATTTGGAAAATAACGAAAATTTGCCCGATTTTTAAATCAGGTGATAACTATTTGATTGAAAATTATCGTGTTATTTCAATTATATGCTACTTCAGTAAGTTATTTTAAATTGTCCTATTTTCCACATCTCTTAGGAAGGAGCACAATTGTTATATCTCAGCATGGCTTTATGATGAGCAGATTGACTATCACTAATCTAGCTTGCAAAACACAGTGAGTCTCTTGAGCGATAGATAAACAAGAACAAGTATCATAGATGTGGTTTATACTGATTTTCGCAAAGCCTTTGATTTAGTTGGTCATTTCTTACTTTTGTCAAAGTTGAGTGCAGTGGGATTATGAAACAGTTTTGTTTCAGTTAAGGAAGCATATCTTACAATCAGCACTCAAAGGGTTGAGTATGGGGGTCATATGTTGTTTTCTTTTATTGCCACTTCAGGGGTGCATCAGGGATCTAACCTAGGTCCCCTGTTAATCATAATCTATATTAATGACCTAGCAACATAGTTGACAAACCTCTATCTATGTTGTGCTGATGACCTGAAAATGTTCTGAGAAATTAAAGATTATAGTAATTGTGAAAATCTCCAACGAGACCTTGATAGTTTAACTAATTGGTGTGTGATAAATAAACTTGATTCAAATCTTAGAAAATGCAAGATCTTAAACCTTTCTGGCAAAACCAATGCAATATTGGTCAACTGTCAGATTGACAACATAGCTATATATTGATGTCAGTCTTTCAAAGATCTTGGGGTGATTTTTCATAGTAAACTTCTGAGCATATACGGAAAATGATCGTGTCAGCAAACAAGGTTTTGGGATATTGTGTCAGAAACTGGTTTAGCTTTGTTCACATGAGAAGTGTGACAGTGCTGTATACTTCTTTTATAAGGAGTAAGCTGGAGTATGGAGCAATATGGTCTCCATTCTATCAAAATGCTATTTCAGCAGTTAAATCGGTTCATCCTTAAAGCTTAAAATATATGAACTACAAAGCTTATGGTTTTTATTCTGAAAGAATGAATTTTGACACTCTAGTTTACCATCACCATACTAGGGATATTACATCTCTTTATAATATAGTCAATAATGGATGAGACTGTCCAGACTTACTAGTCAATATTAATTTTGCAGCGCCCTCAAAAATGATATGCTTCATCTCGATTTTTTATACTCCAACTGGTAGAACAAATATAGCATACCTGTCTCCAATAACTAGAATGTGTAATAGTTTTGATATGTATTGTCAAGGATGTAACATTAGCTTTGATAATTTACAGGTGGTCTTAGGCAGTTTTAAAAGAAATTACATGATAATGAACTGAATGTTACTCATCTTCAACCTTTTTATTGATTTTTTTATTTTACTGAGATATATGTCTATTTTAATTATTTCTTTTATTTGTGTTTCTTGTTTAATTAATTAAAAAATACTCACGATATTGGTAGAGTGTCAAATAAGCAAGTAGCTATGTGGAATGTGATTAAAGCCATTGGTGTGTAATCATCAAAATCTTATTCTACTACTCTCAACACGAATGATTTAAACTGTTTCTTGGCCAGCAGTGCTGAAACCATTATTTATAAAATTCCAGCTACCCAACCAAACTTCAGAGATTTTATACAGGCTAGTGATACACTACATGTTAACTTTCGAACTGTTTCATTCAACAATGTTCGATACAAAATCAAAAGCTTGACGAATTCGAAAAGTAAAGATCCTTATGACAACGATGTTATAATTGCAACACAAAAATTCTATACAATTAACATTTGACAAAACTGTTAAACATGTGCATAGAAACTAATGTCTTTCCTGTCTTCTTTAAACTGGCAAAGAATATCTCACACTTCAAGAAAGGATGTGGAAATGGTCCATGTAATTACAGACCCATTTCCATAATGCCAATTATAGCAAACTTTTTTGAAACACTTCTGGAGAATCAGACATGTGAATGCTTCGAATCTAACAATTTATTATGCAGTAGTTAGTTTGGATACTATACCAAAAGATCAACGAAAACGTTTTTATCAGTTTCATCAACAAATGTCTGGAAGATAACATGTTCGCTCTAGCTAGCTTCTATGATTTTACAAAATCACTTGATTGCCAACATCACATTTTGTTTCAAAAGTTGTCACTGTATGGTTTTAGTAATAATAGCCTGTCCTTAATTACGTCTTATTTATCAGACAGAAGAGGTATGCTAGTTTTTAAAGCAGTTTTTCTAACACTGTACATATTAACTTCGGAGTTCCCCAAATGTTCCAAAATGTTTCTTAAGACCGATTCTTTTTTTGATTTACATATTTGCGGATGAGAATCATAATTTTGACCAGGTATTATTCAACTCTCACCAACATTTTGACAACATCCAAAACTGGTTTATTGCCAACATTTTGGCTTTTAATATAGCGAAAACTCAATCTCTTCTACTCAGTACTCGTCCACATAAAAGTAATTTAATAGAACGCGTGAAATTCCTTGGAGTGTGTATTGGTGCTAACTTAACTTGGTAATGACAAATTACCACTTTATCAAAGAAGTTATCTGAAATAACTTATATGATCTGTAGTTTGAATACCTTCGTAGCAAAACAACTTGGATGACAGCTTATTATGCTTACTTCTAATCTAACTTACAATACTGCATCCTGATTTGGGGACATTCATCTCGTGTTTGCTGTTCAAAGACGAAACATAATAGCAAACTACTTACATTTCAGACAGTGTTGTTAGATGGCATTTAATGAACTAAAAATTTTAACTGTACCATGCATATACCGGTGAGGTTCAAATTTGGCTGTCATCGTAATGTGTACGAGAGAGAAGTGCGGGAAGCGTGCAATATGTATGTTAGAAAGTGTGCGCCGATGACAACGCGGCAAGCCCGTGTCCTCGTCTCTCGGGTTGCCAGGCAACGGGGTGCTTTTATCTCCTTCTAACACACGTATTGCATGCTTCTCGCGCTTCTCTCTCGTACACATTACGACGTCAGTCAGATTTCACTGTATATACTGGAATATTGGATCTATGTTAAAATAATTATGATGATTACAAAACTCCAACAGAGATTCACCAATATAACAAAAGGTTGAGTAATGAATTAATACCAGAACACATAAGACTATCAAAAACTAGACACGGAAGTAATTATTTCGGTGTAATTCTTTAATGTTCTGCCCAAGTTTTGTCAAACACTCAACCCAATCATTTTTCAACAAACGGTGAAACAATATTTAGCGACGAAAGCTTTTTACAGCATAGACAGGTTTTGAAATAGTGATTTTACCGACTTCGTTCCATAATTGTTGACTATTTGTTTCATTATTTTGTTTGTTTTAGATTTTGTTTATGTTTTTAAGTGTATTACTTTTTGTATTTCTTTTTATTGATCAAATGCTGAGACTTTTCTCGACGTGTGTGAGCACTTTTGTGCAAACACAAAGAAATTGTTATTTATCACTCTTACTTTGATATATATTGTGCAACTATTTATTGTTATAGTGTGACAAACTGTTACTGTATTCTTTATTGCTATCCCTGTCGGAATAAATATTATCACAGATTCAGAACCTAATAGCTCTGGTATAGGTTTATTTTTACAAGAACTATATGCTGTGCATGAGTCTTAACCAATGAAGGTTAACATTTTTATTTAATACAATACTCATTTTAGGTCAAAAGCACAAGATCAAAAACCAACCCCTCAAGCACAACCACAAGCTCCAGCCTGTTCAGACTACATCTATTTAGATCACAATTACTGCAGCACATCAACATCTTCAGCATCTTCAGTGCAGGGCAGTCCAGCTTCTTATAGGGAAATGCCCAAGAAAGATTCAGGATTCGAATCTGCTGAAGATGAGCTCAAAGATACTATTGATGTGCATGAAAGACAACCCATGGTCAAAGGAGCAGATGGGAAACTCATGGTCTCTTTACTCAAAGTATGCAGAACATATTAGTCTTTTTTAAAAGAGAGTACAAAGTTGCCCCAATAGGCACATCGGGGATTTGTTTTTAATAAAAGCTGCATTTGTAAAAAAATATATATTGTTTATAGTTTATATCATCAGAATTTTAAGATTTTTTAAATGCTCCCCTCAGCTGTTTCTACAGATGATCATTCTTTTACTAAAATTCACCAATGATTGGAGAAATCATCATCATTTATCATCTGTGTATTGTTTGAATAGACCTTAACTTTGAGGAATCCCCCCCAAAAAATGCTTGCATACAATTACAAAGTTTTCCTCGCTGTATGACACGTGGTTCCATTTTTGTGAAACATGTTGTTCAGGTGCATATTTTCCAATTGGGGCCATGAAAGGCCCAACCATATTTTTGGTGTTTAGCATCGTAATTTTAATGGAAATGAGAGTGAACTTCTAAACATTTCCATATTATATCAAATTATAAACTGTCTTAAGGGGAGACTGTATAGATAACGACACGAAAATTTGAATTGCTGTATTTGTTTTTTGTTACTCAACTAAATCATGTAATATTTCGTGTAGGGCCCTAAAAGTTAAACACCTATGGGATGATATACAGATTCTGAGCATAACTTCTGTTTTCGTAAAGCTATAAATCGCTCTTTCCGCGGCACAGTGATTCTCCTTCCATACTAGGGCGGCCATAAATACACAACTTAGATTTAACCTTTCTCATTGTATGTACTTTAAACCTTAAAATACAGTTGAACAAACATGAAAATACAATTTTTAGAAAAAAAAAATACTAAAAATGTTTCTCAGTATTTTTGTATTAGATATCGTTTATCAACCTTATATTAAAGAAATAAAATAAAACAGTTCATAATAAGGGCAAACGAGATATTAAAAAAAATTATAAACTCTAATACTTATAATATATTATAATAGAAACAACAAATTCAACACAGATGTTGTCAATATGTCTTTTAACAGGTAACTTTCGTCAACCACTACCCTCCTTAGAGTGCCAAATATCAAAAATAGTCCTCCTCGAAACAGAATACTTGAAACATTTACCTAAAACAACAACAAAATTGGATTTGGAGAACACCTTTTTTCTGTACTATGAACATAATATGGTTTGGCACGTCACAAACCTAAGAAGGGGCAGCAAGATGAAACCTCTATGCCCCTAATCTAGACATTCTCTACTTTAAGATAACATTTATCTTGGCTGCAACAAGGCGCAGCCAAAAGTTTATAACTCGAAATGAATTAATTTTGTAGGAAAAAATCTAGCAAAAACAAATTTCAATAAAAAAATATATAAAACCCCGAAACGCATGTTTTTACATAAAACAGGTAAATAATGAGAGTGCATACCATATTCTTGCACCTCCATATTATCATTACTTGAAAACACTAGGCTTGAAATTATAATCCACAAAAAAGGTAAATAAGTTACAATGACTTACATACGTAATGAGACTCGAGAAGCTGTCACTTAAAATAACAGTTTGGAAAATTTGCATTGTTAATCTTATTTTTTAAAAGCCTCGCGCCTACTCGGTAACTTAGCGACTCATTTAGACCTTTATAAACTCATGACTTTTTTGGTTTTTTGGCTTATGGAGGAATCACTGTGCGTGGGTGCTGTGGAGGGGAGCAAAAACGTAGGACTGGTCATATAACCAATTTGAGTCTAAGAAAAAATTGAATTCTCTCTTTTATTACAGAGCTAAATCATATACAGGGTGTTCCTTAATGATATGCGAATATTCAAGGAATTCAAGGGTGTGAATCTACATGAAAAATTAATGTTAGTTTGCTTTATGGTCCAAAAATGTTTCCTTACAAAACCTCGGGGTGTTGAAGTTTTAGGACAAAAATGGAAATGAATTAATATTTTCAGAACCGCTTCAGATATTTTACTGATATTTAGTATATAGTGAAAGTTAATAAAGTTGCATACTTTTCAATGCAAAAATAATTTTTAGCTTTATCAGTGGCGTGCGTACTGGTATTGACTTCGATATTTTTTAAGAAAAAATGGTTCACCAATGGTTTTTTGCCATATCCTTTTTTGTTATATCCTTACCATATTTTATAAGCACAGGCATTACTTCCCAATGATTTTCCAAGCCGTGTGACATTTTGTCAGTGGTATCTTCAAGAAATTACACAAAATCCGCAATTTGAATCAGTGATTCTGTTCACGGACGAAGCTTATTTTTATCGAAATGCCACAATAATCATTTGTGGGCAGAAGAAAATCCCTATGCCATAACCGAAACCCATTTCCAACACCAATTTTCGGTTAACGTATTGGCCGGAACTATTGGCAACCACTTTATTGGCCCATTCTTCTTGCCGGGACGACTTGACGGACAGACTTACCTCAATTTTCTTCAACAACAGTTGCCTTTGCTGCTTGATGATGTTCCGATAGTAATAAGAAACAATATTTGGTACATGCATGATGGTGCACCAGCGCATTTCAGTGTAGCGGATCGTAATTATTTACAAACTGTTGATCCAAATCGTTGGATTGGCCGCGGTGGGCCCCAAGAATGGCCACCAAGGTCCCCAGACCTCAACAGTTTAGATTTCTTGTTGTGGGACTAAGACACTAGTGTACACAATTCCCATTAACACTGTAGAGGAATTAAGAGAAAGAATAGTTGCAGCTTGTGATAGAATAAAAAACACTCCAGGGATATTGCAACGAGTGCAGGGGGGCCATTTTCAACAATTTTTGTAATCGTTTCGTTGATTTTAATGTTATGTTTGTGTTGTCAGTTGTTGTTGTTCATACCCATAATGTGTTTAATTTTTCCAATTAAATTAATAATAATTTTGCAAGTTAGACAATAGAACGGTTTTTATTTTTGCTACTCAAAAATGGCGCATCGAAGGAAAACAATTCAAGAGAGATCATTTGTTTTAAATTGAACGGGGAATTCAAAAATAATTTTTATTTGGCAAAAAACCATTGGCGTACCATTTTTTTCTTGAAAAATATCGAAGTCAATACCCGTACGCACGCCACTGTTAAAGCTAAAAATTATTTTTGCATTGAAAAATATGCAACTTTATTAACTTTCACTGAATCTGAATTTCCATTTTTTTCCTAAAACTTCAACACCCTGAATTTTTGTAAGGAAACATTTTTGGACCATAGTTTATAAAGCAAACTAACATGTAGATTCACATCCTTAAATATTCGCATATCATTAAGAAACACCCTGTATTTCGAGTAGGGATCTAAAAGTTAAAGCTATGAGATAATTTAACAAGTTTTGAGAATGACTTCTGTTTTCATAAAGTTATACATACCGTGCGAATCATTTAAGGTTGTGGTCGGCTGGGTTTGAATGTGTTTGAGAGAAAAGGGAGAGCAATGTACGTGCAACATGGTTGTAAAAAAAAGTTAGAAAGAGTGCGCTCACAACTAATCACCCCGTAGCCTGGCAACGAAGGTGAGCAAGGTCCTGGAACACTCTTTCTAACATAGATGTTGCACGCTTCTCGTACGCATTGAAACTCGGCTGATCACAACCGTAAATGATTCGCACGGCATAAGGTGCCACTAGAAAACTGATTTATAATTTTATGTAAACAGAAGTAATTCTATAAACCTGTATGTCATCCCATGGCTATTTAACTTTTAGGGCCCTACGTAGAATACTGCAGGATTTAGTTTATTAACAAAAGAGAAATGTATGCTAGCAATTCTTGTTTTTTTTTTTTTCACGAGTATCCATTACGGTCAAATAATCAGCGGATTATCTGGTAATATTTCGAAATTCGCCATACCGACAAATTCTGACGGTTCATTTGCATACAAATAAAAACAGATACAAGCAAGTTTTACTAGATTTACACTAGACTCATTATTGCCAATGGTACAGACTAATACAAAGATATCACTGGCTGAGCTTAGGCGTTAAAACGTGATGGATTCTCGTGAAATAAGGTTTATACAGCCTCCCCTTAAGTCATGCTGTTGAAAAATGGCGCCAATTTAAGTCCCGAAGTACCTATTGGCACTACCTTCATTTGAAAAGTTGCTTCCACCATTTAGTATCAATTTTCTAATTATATGTTTACTTCAGGTCAACACTATAAGAACAACAGAGCCCAGACAAAAGAAAAAATTGAATCTAGAAGAATACAAAAAGCGCAGAGAAGGGTTTTTTATGTCGCAAAACAGTTCTCGAAATTGTTCTCCAGCTAGCAGTACATGTAGCAGTCCCTTACCTGAAGATGATAATATGAAACTGATCAGACATCAAGAGAAATTGATGAGAATGGCACAAGAGGTTCTCAATACTCCACCAAAGTCTGAAAGGTAACTCACATACATCCAGAATGTTTTCTCCTCTAAAACCATGTATTTTTAAATGGAAGCGTTTGCACTTTTTTTCTTGTTTGTCTATATTGATTATACAGGGTATCAAACATAGAACTGCTGAAATCAATTATTAGAGAACTTGTCATTAGGCAATTATGAAAACTTGGGGTTTAATTGAGGTATTCGGCTAAAATAGTGGCCCTTCCGGATAGAGTGGAAGTAAATACTAACTTGTTATTTTAAATGGAACACACAGGATTCTAAACACATGTCATGTATTGCATCCTATACCTAGCTGTAACCGTTTGAGAAATTTAAATTTTTGTGTAAAGGAATGAGTTGCAATTCATTCGGCAAAGACAAAAACATATGAAAAATGTATAGGCTTTCATGGGCCTGCATTTGTGATTTTTATATAAAATTTTATATTTCTCAAGAACAGTTAGACATAGGTATAGGATGTTATACATGTAATGTGTTTTCAATCCCATATAGTCAAAATTTAATATTCAGGGTGTTCCATTCAAAATAAGGAAGTTGTTATCCACTTCCGGTACAACAAAATAAATTATCCGAATTACTCACAACAGTTATACCATTACTCCAAGTTTACATGTCTAGTCAACTTTTCAAGTAATCAATCTCTACATTTCTACATGTGTTTTTACTTTTATGATTTCTTATTCATTCCTGTCGATCTTTGTTTATCTTTGTTTCTTACATTTGTTTTCAGAAAATCCGAACCAACTGTTGTAGTCCCAACTCGTAAACCATTACCTGTACCGGCAGATATTGAGAAGAAGGAATTGGTTAGTATAGGTGTGAACACAGATTTCAAAGTTCGCAAAAATCTTGATCCTTTAGCTCCTGTTGAGCAGCTCGAGGAGATCAAACCTCTTTTGAAAAAAGCCAGTGCCAAAATCAATTGTAATTCCCTGATTACTTCGTTGATTGAAAATATTCCTAAAGTGATAGGTAAGTGTTATCAGTGTTTTTTTTTATGATAGTTTCCGGAATGATAGTAGAAGAGAAACAGAAATATGTCTTTATAGTTCCATAAAATGTTCCTTTTCATTTGTAAAATATTCCTTTTAATTTGTAAAATATTATCAGCAAAATTATCCTTGACCAAAGCTCGTTAGTGGTGATATTGATTAATGATGTCATCACCTCCAAAACTTTGGAAAAGTAACAGATGCCTGTCCTTACGTCAGTGTAATTTTATTTGTATATTACAATATAACACAGGCATCTGACATTTATTTAACAAACTCTTACAACAATTTTTTATAGTGCATATCTTATAACAGTCTATCTACCCTGATTATACAGTGCTTGCAGTCTTTATCCAAGTTTGATTATAAAGAAAGGCTTGAAACTAGAGTTTGTCAATTAGCAGATTTCTGCAAATAGGCTTAACGCCATTTCAAATGTAAAGATTTTTGGCATAAAGGGGAATGCTTACCTACATCCATGTAGCGATAGCTGAAATAATTTTTTTCCTCGTGAGCTGGGAGAAAACGAATTTGAAATTCTTGTAATGGAAGAGAGGTGATTTAAATCGTTTGTATTTACCGTTGAAGGAATTAACCAATAGGATTTGTTTTTTTCTCTCTTCCTTTCTCACTTGTTCGAGTGTTTGATAGGCAAGTTTTATAAACACTTACAATTTTTTGGAGGCATATTATTGATATTAAAAAATGCCAATTAAAACTAGTAAAGTGTATTGCTGGCATTAAGTTGGCCATGTTTAAAGGTCAAGTGTACTTACTGGATAAAACCTGCCTCCAAACTGGAATTGGATGTATTTGCACAAGGCTATCGATATGCAACGCTAGTTTAACGATTTCTTCTATAAACGAACTTTAATATAGACTGCATTTAGACCATGGGTTTGTCTAAGATGTGGGCATAAGAATACCTGTCATCTTTTAGATAGTTGTGATGCTCCAACTATTTCCGAACCTCCAGCCAAAAAAGACCATGGAGAGGATAAGACGATAGTTTACCTGCCGAAGAACCGTTCATCAGTGAAAACAGTCAGTACACTCGTTCAAACCAACATTTCCCTGATCAAACAGACTAAAGCATCCATGAGAAGACAAAACAGGGAGTACAGGAAAAGGAGGAGAAGTTCAAGTGGATCTGCCTCAGAAAGAAGTAGATCTAGCAGCAGCACAAGCAGCGGTTGCAGCAGAAGCAGGGAAAGAGGCAGAACGAAAGGCAGGAAACGGGACAGGTGAGTCATAAGGGTGATGAGATGGTTTAGTTTTTTGCAGTTGCCCGAAAAGTATGTCCTATTATTCACAGTTCGGTCCACAAAAGTTTTGTTTTTTCGAGTGGACTCGTTAAGGGGATTCTGTTTAAATACGACTAGACGATGTTGATTGGTGAATTAAGCAATTCAGGGCTAGAAATAAATTGAATTGTAAGCTTACATTTCTCTTTTATTACTAAACTTGATCATTTAATATTCCACGTAGCCCGCTTAAAGTTAAATAGCTGTGAGATGTGATGTGCAGATTTTGAGAATAACTAATAAATCGAACTTTTCGCGCGTGGTACGGCCGAAAGCAAATACCCCGACGATTGGTCACATGAGCAATTTGAGGTTAAAAAAATTGTCTTTTAAGCGGATATTTTTCTTTTTTGTTTCAAAACTAAATCGTATAATATTCTGCGTAGGGCCCTAAAAGTTAAAGCTATGTAATAATTTACAGGTTTTTATAGTGACTTCTGTTTTTGGAGAAGGCCCGCAAAAAGTGTGATTTATGACTTCATGAAAACAGAAGTTATTCACAAAACCTGTATGTCATCTCATAGCTATTTAATTTTTAGAGCCCCACGCGGAATATGCACGATTTAGTTAAGAGGACTGAAATTTAAACTTTTTCTAACTTCAAATTGCTTATTAAACCAATCAGCATTGTCAGTCGTATTGAACCTTTCCTAAATACATAATACAGCAACCCTCAATATGGTTGGGCATATTTTCTTGGAGAATACGTCAATCAACGCAAACATCTATTATTTAATCTTCCGGTTGAAAATATAGTTGCATTAATAAGAACCTTCGTCCCGTAATCATAAAATGTCTAAATATAACTCAAGTAATACTTGTTTTATTATGCCGAATCCACACGTTTGTGGTTTGCTGCAAGCTCTAAGCCTCTACAAACACAATTGAATTGAATCGGATATTTATTTTTCTTATGAGTCTAGTATTGTTATCGCATCAACCAGTCGACATCTGCCCGCTCTGGTTCCACAAGTTTACACAAACTTGGTGGACGCTACGCAAACGCTTGCTGAAAACACCATCGATTAATGCTACAAACGCTGGCAGGTCTACGCAAGCCTAATACTTCCGCATGCTTGAATTTGTGATGACTTGCTGAGGTTTGACAAGCGTGTCGCCGCGCCTTTAAGCTTATTAAACTTAATAATTCTACCTTGAGAAATTTGCAAAAAAAAAGTGAATGTGTTTTTGATTTTACAGAAGAAGAAGCTCGCATACTTCCTGTGGAAGCACAAGAAGTTCCCGCAGCTCCAGAAGTTCTGTTTCTGGGTATCCATTGTCATATTCCTCCAGGTAAGCAATTATTTTTTAAAACAACATTCGTCATACGACTTTTCTCCCTAGAGTTGGAGCCATCTTTTCTCCCTAACACACAGTTCGAACAAATTGAAAAACATATCAAACACTAGCACATCAACACATCCAAGTTGAAATATTTTTATATTTGCGAAAAATGTTGAAAAAGCAACTTGTTACATTTCTTGTCTTGAAAACAAAGCCTAAAACATGGATAGATTATTTTTATTTCTTGATACAAGCCCGCACTTTTATTCGCAATTCAAGGACTACTGTTTGTTTCCAGATGTTCGTCACGATCAAGATCTCGATCAATTTCGCCGAAGCATTCAAGAAAAGAAAAAGAAAGGTTAAAGGAGGTAGAAGAGCGTAGAGTGATCTACGTAGGTCGCTTGCTACCAACCTCAACCAGAGACGAACTTAGAAAGAGATTCCAAAAATTCGGACCGATCACGAATGTTAGTTTGCATAAGAGAGAACACGGGTAAGTTTATTTGGGCATTTTTGAAAGTTACATCCCTTCTGGAACATAAAATAAAGGGTATATGATACATCCTAAAATTCCAAGGCTGTAGTGGTGTAGCTATTTCCTAGTACCACAAAAATATACATAATGCCAAAATTTACAAGATTTAAAAAATAAAACACTATTTTCTAAAATCACGATATATAATTAATATGTTATTCTGGTGTATCTATCTTTTTTTGGTAGTTTGTGCTTACAGAATTTAGACATCTTTTATTTTTGGAAATAGTCTCTCGTTCTGAATTTTCATAAATGATATTTATTTTTTTTTGTTTTGTTTCAGAGATAACTACGGTTTTGTAACATTTGCGAATAAGCTGGATGCATATGAAGCCATAGAACATGGAAATGATGATCCATACTTGCCAAAATATGACCTCAGCTTCGGAGGCCGGAGGATATTCTGCAAAACTTCATATTCAGACTTAGGTAATTATCAGAAGCTAATCTTAAACTCTATTTAAGCCTTGTGTACACCGCCTCAAACGGTACTCATCCAAAATTCTCGTAATTTTATTCGCCTGTCGCTGCATGTCCATGCGTATGCATATTAATAAAGCGTCAAAAAAATTATGCATAATTATATTTTTAATCAGAAATTTGGAGACAATTTCAAGCCAAAGAGGCAGTTCTTAAATGTTATTATGGGTACTTCCAATCAGCACTAAGATATGCTATTTTTACCTGGGGACATCCTGCTCATGCTACAGACATATTTGCGCTCCAAGGATGCATCAGGATTATAACTAATTTAAATTATCAAGATCCTTGTAAACAGGCGTTTATAGATCCAAAAATTACTATACCTTGCATTTATACAGGGTGGCTCAACGAATAGGTTGCGCCCCCATTTGTGCCTCTGCTGGTATATTTTGGGAAAACGCTCGGATACGTCAATTTTTTTTTTATTTTTAGATTTTTCATTAAGTTTTTAGCTACTTTTGTATAATGAAGTGTATTCCTATCTTCAATCATTGGGATGCTAGTTAAGTTTATAATAGAATTCGACTAACTTAATACGAGCCCCTTCCCACTTCAGTTGGCCCACTTCAGGATTTGTACCAAAATATGCCTTTATAAACTAATCATGACGAAACTATTTACTTTTTAAAACAATTTATTTTCTCAAAAACATTTTAGATACACTCTAGTCGTAAAAAATACATATTTGAAATCACTTAGACCTATAACTAATAGAACATCTGAACAAATAAACAATGTGCGAATAAATGCGCGAAGTTAACAAAGCAACAATTGAAAGATTACCATTGGGTAACATCACCTTTATTTTTTATTACGGCTGAAATTCTTTGGGGTATAGTGTTAACCAAGTTTTGGCAAAAATTTGGTGTAAAACAATCCCATATTTCTTGAAGCTTTTGTCTCAGTTCGGTGATTGTACGAGCAGGATGTTGTCGTAGAACCTTTTTCATCTCGTGCCACAAAGTTTCAATAGGTGACAGATCTGGACTGCTAGAAACCCATTTCAAAAGTGCTACATTATTTTCTTCCATCCATTTTATAGCCTTTTTTGAGGTATGGCACACTGCACCATCTTGCTGAAACACAAAATCTTGGCCGGATGTCGAACATTCTTCCATCACTGGTAAAAGCGATTCTTCTAAAATTGCCAAATATTTGTTTGTATCCACATTTCCATCAATAAAATGAAGTTTTCCTACTCCTTTTGGTAACATACTGCCCCAAACCATAATGGATGCTGGAAATTTCATTTTTATCTTCAGACAGTCAACATGGAATGCTTCATTTTTTTTGCGAATAACTCTACTGCGACTGTCACCAACACAAACTTCGAATCGGGCCTCATCACTCCATTGTATTGCACACCATTTTTGAGGTGTCCATTGTCTATGTTCTTTAGCCCATCTAAGCCGATTTTTCTTTTGCAGTGGAGTTAATAGTGGCTTTTCTTTGGCCTATAAACAAGTTGTGCAACTTTAGGGCTTTTACTTCACTTTTTTTTATAAGAAAACTTATCTTGCAAGTGCTAAATCCCAGTTTGTGGGCCTCTCTATGAGTTGTGGACCTCGAAATTCTCCTTCCAACAGCGTCACTCCACAGAGCACTTAATTGTAAATATTTGGCACCCCTGTTTTTCACGATTATTCTTCTTAATGCTCTTCGGTCGGCATTTGTGATATTACTTTTTTTCACATATCGTGGCTAAATATTAACTGAACCAGTTACGTTATATCTTCTAGTAATATTTCTCACACTGTACCGCAATAAGTCTAACAAAGTTGCAATTTCTGAATTTGATTTCCCAGAATTAAAAAATTTAATTATCAGTAACCGAATTTTCTTACTAATAACCGTTCCTCTACCCATTTTGAAAACCTTAACTACCCAAAACTATTTTAAACGTATTCTGACGGCTTCGATTAATAAAAACAATTGTCATGGCTTTTATGTTTCACAGCCACCTATGCGTTATAGATTTTGCATTGAAATGAAAATAGGTTGATATGCTGTAATTGCAACATGTGTTATTTTTATGCTGCAAAAGTTGGTGTTTTCTACTATATATTATCAAAATATTCATTGTTAATATTTTAAATCTATAACTACATTTTATTATTTGTGTTTGATAAGAAAAAAACTACTGTCAATAATGGAATGCACAGCAAAAAATAATCATGGATACAAGCAAGAACATTTAGCACCAGTCAGTGTCATCATATGTCATAAAAAAATTCTTTCATTTCAAATTGTTAAGTTACCTACCTAGTTGTGATAAATATTGAACAATGACTTATTCAATTCAAGAGCTTCTGCCTGGTTGTTTAATGCGTTACATCCAGACACAAAATATTAACGATAAATATGCGGCTAAGTTGATAGGAAAATTTGAAGAAACTGAATTTGTGTCTAATATTCGCCGTAATCGCCATCGAGAAAATCGACCAGTTAGAAATAGCAGTTTTGGGACAGGTAACACCCGTTGTACTCGCGTACTGGCTACTTGTTCAGGATTTGCACGCTCAACATTATAAAGAATTTTGAAAGACGATAAATTTCACCCATACAAGATAAAACTTGTCCATGAGCTTAATGAAGACGATTTTGATGGAGGGTTGGGGATTTGCGAATTAATGTCCTAACGTTTAATCATCAACAAGGCAAATCTGCTATTTAATATTTCTTTCTTGGATGAGTGTACGTGGTGCTGTAAATATACATATTTTTCGATATTGGAGTGACTCGAATCCACATTAGTTTCGAGAGACACTCGCAATAACCTAAAAAAAATAAATGTGGCATATCCGGAAATCATATTTTAGGACTTTTTTTTATTAATAGAAACTTGACGGGCGAGACGTACTTGGACATGTTAGAAAATACAATAAAGTCACAAATTACCGCAATATTAGAAAATGACTTTAATTATAATGAAAATTACATACATATCCAACAAGATGGTGCACCGCCGCACTATGTGGATCTAGAATGACATTTTTTGGACACCCATTTCTCGAATCAGTGGATTGGAAGACGAGTGGCCTCCGAGATCTTTTGACCTAAGTCCTTTAGATTACTTCCTTTGGGGGCATTTGAAACGTAATGTTTTTAGTACGAAGCCAGATTCCATTCAAGATCTCCGTCAGCGGATTACGGCTGAATGTAGACAAATAACTCAAGACATGCTTGAAAAATGTAAGGAATAGATTCGAAAAAAATCTTTATTATTGCACGAAGGTAAATCTACACCACTTACAGCATTTATTACCATATTGAACTACCTCTTTATAGCAAATTAACTTTTATTTGATCTTTAATGTGAGTGTAAACTATAAGTTGTTTTTTGTTTTTTAAAACTCGGAGACTTGTTTTTAATTGTAAAGGCTTTTTACTATGGGAACTAAATTGATTATTATTTTTTAAATGTATTTCCTTATTATCACAATTTCTGGAATTTTATATAAACTCAAATAGCTTCACAACGATTGAAGAACTTTATTATTACAAATGTTACTAAAAAATGGGGGTTTTCATTTAAAAATCTGACGTAGCGCAATATCTTATTTAAGGATCACCCTGTATTATACGGCTACAGATGAAAACACGTCCCCCTAGAAATCAAAATTGATGTGTGCGAGCGGTTTCTCCTAAATATACCAGGAGAGTCACAAATAGGGGTGCGCCCTTTTCGTTGGACCATCCTATATACTTGAGTTCCTAATACATATAACAAGAAAGGAACATCTATTTAACAATCCAGTGTGCATACGCACATGGCAAGAAAAAGAGAAAAATAGCAACTAAAAAAATTAAGGCTGTCTAAATCCAGAAATAGCCCAAACTACTTCTGCATTAAGTTTTTTATTGTCCTACCACTGAGCATTAGGAAGCTGGACAAAAAGGTATTCTACACAACAATTAAAAATATTTACTTGAGACTTTTTTCTTTTGAGGATTTTATACAGGGTGTGGATCAACGGAAGTCAGGTGATAGTGTGCCGTAAACGGGATAATAAACTTACAACTAAACTATTAGGTTTAGGGCTGTGATTTTTTTCTGAGATAAGCTAAATGGTTAGTTTTAGCAATGGTTATGTCACTTCTAAACAGAACTTATTAGAAATCAAAGCAAAGAATCTTAAATTCATTTTTTTGTGACAAATCTCTTCCATCCCTCAATTTTGGAGTGCGGTAAAAAAATTGAGGTTGTATTTTATTATTCATTTTATTGTGAAAACTATTTCAATCCATGTAGAATAAACCCTGAAAATTTTTGCTTGCTATGATGAGTGTATCATGTCACATTCGTTGTTGTGATGCGATAAACGTAAGAAACGCAATAGAATCCTTACGACTTACAAGTACAGAATTTAATGTGTTTAGCCGCTCTTTAAGGCGATTTACCAACAAATGTGGAAGATAATTCAATTTAACTAACTTATGAACATGTTCGAAATGGCCTCCATTATTTTCTATACACAAGCGACGCCTAATAAAATTGTCCTTTAGTCTTTGAAATGAATTTGCGTTTTCCATAACTTCATCAATTTTCTGGCGCAGTTGGTTGACATTTATATATTCAGATGTATAGATTATCCCCTTATAAAACCCCAATATAAAAAATCTAAAGAATTTAAATCGGGTGACCTGGGAGGCCATCGTATGTGTCCAACGCACAGGAAAGGCACTATCTAAGTAATGCCGTACATCCCGTGCAAAGTGGCATGGTGCACCATCGCATTGAAAATACATGAGGTTTCGAATGTCCAAAGGTACATCCTATAACAGCTCATGCAACATGCTTTGTAGAAAAGCAAGATATGACTGACCATTCAACTTGGCGGGCAATTCATATAGTCCAATTAATTTTTTGTTGAGTACTCCAGCCCATAAGTTAACGGCGAATTGACGTTCAAAGCTGTGTCGTCGAATAGCGTGTGGATTTTTCACGCTCCATGAATGGAAATTGTGCATGTTTATGAATATTTTATTTCGGTAAAGTAGGATTGATCCGTCCATAAGATGCTGTCGAAAATAGTTTTATCCTCTTCGCACCTTCTCAACATATTCTCACAAAATTCATCTCGTTGTGCATAGTCGCTTGGAAGCAATTCTTGTACTTTTTGTACATGGTAAGGATGCATGTTTTCCGAGCGTAGTATTGTGTGCACTGAATTATGGGATATGTTTCTGCTTAGGGCAATGGCTCTGGTGCTTATAGAAGGATCTCTCTCGGCTGCTTCTATTATATCTTCTATTTCTTCTCGGCGCTCCTAGCTGACGATGAGTACCTAGTATGCGGCCCTCCATATACGCATTACGGACGAGTAGAAAATCGCGATGTCGGGATATACCGCTGGCTGTGGTCCACCTCCTCTAACCACATACACCCGATACTTGCGAGCTGCTGCAAAAGCACCATAACAATAATGCATTTCTGCATAATCTCGCTGAGAATATGACGTGAGTCTACTCAGATGCCAAACGGTAGATACAAATTCCGCGCTGGGCCATTGCCTGACTTAGTAATTTCGATCGCACCTGGAATGCCGAGTTGAATGTCCAAGCTCACTAAGCTTATTTGGCTATTTGGGTAAAAAATCCGCCATTTTGATTTTACGAAATGTTAAGACACACAGTATCACTCGCACTGTTAGGACGAATCTAACAGTACCTCATATGTCAAAATCCATCAAACCGTTTGGACTATAGCTCGTAAAATATAATTTATTGTTTAAATGTATAGATACCCACCTGCGTCAAACATACAGATTTTTTAAGGTGAGACACTTATCGTAGCAAGCTGAAATTTTTAGGGTTTATTCTACATGGATTGAAATAGTTTTTACAATAAAATGAATATCGAAATACAACCTCAATTTTTTACCGCCCTCCAAAGTTGAGGGACAGAAGAGATTTTTCAGAAAAACATTTTTTAAGATTTTTTGCGTTGATTTCTAATTAGCTCTGTTAAAAAGTGACATTACCATTGCTAAAACTAACTAACCATTCAGCTCACCCCAAAAAAATCACAGCCCTAAACCTAATGGTTTAGTTGTAATTGCGATTGAAAGTTCATTATCCCGTTTTTTTTTTTTCGAAATTTGACAACATTGCAAATATCTCCTGAACTATAAAATTTCGGGCCACACATATAGGGGTTCATTCGATATGTTTTGAGGCCCTCTTATCACCTGACTTCCGTTGATCCACTACTAACTTTACACCCTGTATTTAACATGTATGATTAATTGATCCATGGTCAACTATTTCTATTGCATTTGTGAAACTGTGAAAAATAGTGTAACTCTAATTGTATTGTATGTCCAACAGTTTTCTTTTGGTTTGAATATATCTTAAGCTCGGATGATTTGTATGTCCATGTATATACCAATGATGCGTTTTGCGCGGTTTTTGTTTTCATTTTCGCGAATTTACGATTTGTTTATATTATATATATATATATATATATTATATATTTATTTGTTTATTAAAGATATTATATACATATTTCTGACGCTTCTCCGTACCAGCACCAATAAATTCCTATGTATCATTTATGGCCCTAGGAGCGCGACATTTTGAAAAATACGAGCTGGTGTTTGTTTTAACTTGACATGCATGAGATTATACGATACAACGATACGCAATATAATAATTAAGATGCATATGTTTCATGTTTATATGTTTGGGTGCCCAAATACTTCTGGTTTCTTTTTCTGTTACCGATTTTTTTTATTGAAATCATTTATTTATTATTTCAGATAATGTGCACGACGATGCTCCTTATTTCCCATCACGAACAGTAGAAGACTCTTTTGACACCCTTTTGAGGGAAGTACAGGAAAAATTACGGAAACGCAAAGCTTGACGATTGCTGAACATTTATACAATCTTAGATCAATATGTCTCGGAGAATTTATGTTACTATTTGTCTTTATTAGGATACAGGTCTTATTTCCACGTTTCATATTATGTAATATAATTTATTTCTGGTTTCAAAGAATTTCGATAATATACAACAGATGGAACATTTTCGCTTTTCAACCAAGTATTGTGGTCAAATGATTTTTCAACAATATTATTAATATTTGCCGGACAAATATACAGTGGATCAAAAAAGTATTGGCCCATATTTTTCCCCTGAATCTCGAACAAAGTTCTAGCTGTAAATAAATTTTGTTAAAGCTTATTTATTTATTTCTTTGTTTTTTTTTAGTGTGTCAGTACTTTTTTGACCATCAAAGTTCATAATTCCTATTATTATTCTTGCATTCTTTTTAGTTTAACTAAATGAAAATTAATATATTGATGTTAGCTTTCAAATAAATATAGTAAAAAAAATACATTTTCTTTATTGAGATTCAAGAAAAAAAAAAGTGAAGTATGCCAATACTTTTTCCACCTACTGAACCTCCACGAGTCTTTTTAGCATGAATTATTATGAAGTAATCCGATGATTTTTTATTTTTGTATATATTATATTTTTGCAGATGGTTTTAACCTTGCAACAGCTCTTTTCAATTTTAATTGCATGTTTTAATCTAGCACTTTCTGACATTAGACCATTAAGACATTTTTTGGTTCCTTTATTTAAGCATTTCTTTTTAAAAGCATGTAATTTAAATATGCGTCAAAAAAATTGTAAAAGAAACTGTATCAAGACTTTGTTTTACAGATGCCTATTCACATTTAATCTTTATTAAATGCAATCTTACGTTTTCCCATATTGGGCTGTGTATTTTGTATTAAACATATTTTGTTATAGTTCTAAAATAAAAAGTATTAACAACTGATAATTTGACTTCTGTTCGTATAGTATAAGGAGAATCGCCTTCCGATATGTCAATTTCGTTTTTCTTTCCACGCCAACTAGCGAGGAAGAATCAAAATCGCGAAAAAAATGGTATGTTTTTTGATGTTATATGACTCATTTCCGTCAGTCCGTCTGTTTGTCCGCCAATTTCTAGCCCCGATTATCTTGGACATTTTGACACATGGTTACTAATATACCAAGGACGTAAAATCGGGCGGGAAATGAGGGAAATAATCGACCAAATTTCGTTTTCTGGCGTTTCAGAGGCTCGTTTTTTTGGAGGGGTAGGAGTGGGGAGTTGTAAATATTGAATCATTAGTATCTGTGAAAGACGTTCCATTAGATATAACAGATATTTATATGAGAAGCATGATGTTTTCATACGAGGTCGGTTAGCTACTGAAATGATCACAGCGCGAAAGAAGAAAGTGCTAGCAATATACTTGCTATGGAGACGGCGAATAAGAAGAAATAGGCGGTTTTGGATTCACTCATTGTTTCAAAATCGACATACGTCTGCGCTGTGCCGCGCGCCGTATATTGTGTGGAAAGACTCATCTTGTGGTCCGGCACTCGATGTGTAACTTTTCAAAATGCCATAAGTTCGGTTTGGAAAATGAGTTTTATTTATTGCAAAGTACAGAATGTGTGAAAATATGCGGAAATGCAGAAATAATTCACTTTCGCTCAATATGACCACCTTTTGCCTTGACTATAGCATTGAGACGGTCCAAAAACGAATCACAAGCTGCCCCAACGTGACTTGATTTTTTTCGATGTTAATCGCTACAAAGGCTTTAATAACTTTTAACTACTATTTCATATTTACTCTTATGCACTTTTCAACCCTTTCCCAATTGTTCTAACTTATAACTTTGAAGCTTGACAAGAAAGTTAGCAAGCATTTTTTATTTCGAGATGAGGGTCCTTTGAATATATAAATCCTTATATACATTTTCTTTTACAACAGTGTTACCACTTGGCTTACTTGAATGCTTCAAAAAAGCAATCCTAGTAGTTTTCCATATTCATATGAAACGTCCAATAGGCGTGGAAATGATATGATATAGATAGATGATTTGTGGAACTTCCACCAATTTTTTTATGAAGTTGCCTCCCTTCCGTTTTGAGCTGCGTACGCTCTTGCTAGAAAATATTCAGATTTTCAGACTCACGAATCTCGGGATTTTTCGGCGTGAGTGTATTGGAGTCCTTCATCGATCTCTCCCAGTTAAATAAATCAAATAAGCTTATATTATATTACCGTGATTCAGTTTCAAAAAAATCATCTTACAAATGGATTGAAGTTCATGATATGCGACATATAACAAATCATTGGTGTTACTTCTCAGCAGGATTGAAAACTTATTCGTGTTTGGGGTCCCTGGCAACGACAGCCAAATAACAGAATGCTCCACACCTAGGCACTGGCTGAGCAGCCAAAAACGCTCCACCATCTGGACTATTCTCGTAGAGCATCGGTTTGGCTGACTGAGAGGGTTGCTGCTCACCAAATTCATCCACTTCTACTTCTGCTACACCACCGGGCTACAAAAAAACATTGTCAGTATCAACCCATACACGAGCATTCTTTCCTGAGAAAAAATAGAATTCTCACTAAATGGGTGCCATTGAGCGGTGAACAAAATAATGTGTCGATACAACTAGGTTAGTGCGCTACCTTTTGGTGACAGTTTTATTCTGTCGTTTTTTTGCGTCAAACTCACACATCATGAAACAAATTGATTTGGATCGATAAGCATGATAATTCAAACAAAACAAAAGGATAATTATTGAAAAAAACTCTTGTGGCGGCTCGAATAGAAAAATTTACAGGAAAGGGATTATACTCCTTCCAAAACATAAAATAACTAACTCTCATGAGAATTCGCGCTCATCTTTGACTGACAAACAAATCGAATTTGACTAAGAAGTTCACAATAATAGGCAGCAGTAATGGTCATTTGAAGAAAATCGACCAATATGTTATTTAAAATCCCAAAACAGTGTGACATTTCCCGCAGATGACTACATCTTTGCTTTAAACTTTTTTAACAGTTGAGTGTAATCGGCGCCAAATTTCGGAAGCACTGCCATCTTCATCGCTAGTATCACATTTCATAGACCCTTCTCAATTATATACTATACATTGCATGCCGCGATATAATTGGAGAAATCTTATATTTGATCCACCTACGATTTTTTACGCAAATATTGGCCACAGCTAGGTATAGTCCACTTTAGTGGAAAAGTGTATACCGTGCACTTTGATATTTTTCTTGACTCAATACTCAATGTCTGCCTTTATCATGTCAAGAGGTTCACATCGCAATATTGAATCTTCTCGATGCGGAGTTCTTTGTTTTAAGAATTTCAGTACTTACCAGAAGATGTGCTATATTGGGCAATTGTGCTGTTGGAGGGTTTTCCGTAAAAGGTGGTTGCAGGTCACCTTGCTGAATATTAATGACCAAATAATACATGAAGTCGTTCCTCAGTTTCATTTCTTCTATCGATCGATTACATGTAGTTAACTTTTTCATCCACTTAACTGCTCTTTGTCTATCTGAAACAATGCATTTTTAATCAAACCTACATGACTAGCCAAATGTTATACCTTCTGTTCGGGTTAAATTTGATAGCATGATCTTAGCCAAGAACATATTGTAATTGCAATCATAGTTCAGGTTTTCCGCTTGTTCACCCATTTTGGAAGTTTAGATTTTACAGGAATTTTAATGTAACGATGACAGGACAAAAATGACAATGAATATTTTTAAAACATCTGATACAGAATGTATGGAAATTTAAATAAATAGGTCATTTATACCCTAAATATGAACTTACAAAACGATATTCTTATATACTAATTGTGCATATAAAGGGACTCGCAAAAGGAAGGGTCGATATTGAAGTGGGATAAAGTAAGCTGCATTTGAGGTATCCACGAAATTATTTTCCCATTTGAAAGGCCCATATATGGCAATTTTTATGGAACATGACATTAGTCAATTATCTGCTGCTGCTCAGAAGGGTTCATTATTCAGTTACTCTACCGCATAGACCCAACTGAATTTGAGCGATGGTCGGGCTAATTTTGACTTTGAGGACATTGGTAGTTTGCAATTTATTGGCATATTCCTGCGTCTCCAAGTAAAACAAAGCATTAACACAAAGAGACAAACAGGCGGTTGTATGGATTTATGGGTCGCTGAACCGTAGTTTTTCAGAAACAACGTTGGTGATGCCATCAGCATCATGTGTTTCCAGTTAGTTGGTGATCTGTGTGCACGAACGGATTCAGGATAGGGCATATCTTTCGCAGAGGGGTGACGTGGATTGGCCATTAAAATCTTACGATATGTCCTTATTAAAGGTTTTCTTCTGACGTGTTTTTACTGATAACCCTCAATCCACCACTGCTCTCGAAGTCGACAAGCGGCCATCGTAAGTTCAGCCATCAAAGTAATCTGAACCGGTAGGGCTATTGAGCAGAAATCCTATAAAACATAAAAAAATCGACAAAATGACAACTTGCTGCCTAGGTAGTTCCTAGTGTGCAAATATTACAATCCGCGTTTGCTTGCTATGAGTGCTGTGAGCGTCACCAAAAGCGTCCATCTATGGAGGAATGACTCGGCGACACGCTCAGTGACCGTGCTGCAAGCTGCAAGTCAGTTCGCCATCATACTTTTTTGGTTACAGAATGCTGAGATAGTCTGTAGTGTAGAGTATACTCTGAGACGATGCCTGGTTGAGTAGCAAGATCACATCTGGATTATTGTGTGTATTGGTCTGCATTTGTATAAAATCTGATATTTGCTATGTGAGAAAATTATTACTGAATATGCTGCCCATGAAATATATCTATTAGCTGTGCCAGACGGGGTATTGTTATGTCCAAAGTTATACATTACAATTTTCCCCGTTGTGTGTATCATCAGTCGTGCCTACAATTGGCCTCTTTGATTTTCATAGTTTTTCCTGTCCTTCAGAAAGGCGCTCTATTTTGAAGTTATGTTAGAAATATCTATTTTCATCAAATTGTTCATGCTTTTGATTTTTTATCATCTGTTTCATCAGCCGACGCGGACACGGAACAGTAGAAATCTAGAAATACCCCAGCATTTCTGAAGGAGAGAAAATACTATGAAAATCAAGGGGGACGATTCGGCCCTAAGCCACATCACAAAAAAATTGGGAATCACGTATCACATACAAAACAGTTTAGTACTTCCTCACATCTATGCGCTGACTTGTAGTTTCTATTTGACATCGCAAAATAAGTTTCTATACAATTGAAATGACTGGAAAGAAAAATTAATATGAAATGAATAACTTTTTTACGCTTCATAAATATTCCTGTGTGTACCATATTTTCTCACCTGTTAGTTTTGATATACTTTACCAATCAGAGATTTTCCAAACATTGTTAGCTGAAGCAACATGACGTTTAGGCAACACGTACGGCTACGGAACGAGTGCACAACAAGTGTATAATCAAATCCAAGCGAATAACCAAAATTTCTGTGTTATGTGCCGCGGTTATGATATGGTTCAAGATGACACACGGGTTGATGACGTCAGTTACACCAATCGCTTGAACGCATTGGTTTTAACCGCGGTTTTGTTGCAAGTTGTTTATTTTAGAAAAGCGCGTATATAATCTCTGATTATTTTTATTATCACTTAATAATCGTCTACAACTGTATACGGAAAGTTTAAATAAGAAACCTTTCATAATATTCATGGGAGAAATGTTTTTTCAGATTTTTTTTTTAATGATGGAATACATGTCAGAGAAAACATTTATTGATTAAGCAGTAATGATGAAAAAAGAAATTAGCAAAACCGTATACAGGTGGATATCATCTAGTGAGTTTATATGGCCATATTTTAATATTCTTGTGGTATATGGCTACACAGGATACTTTGTTAAGCATAGGAACTACATTTAAAGTGTCCCCAACAACCGTAATGAGTATAACTAATAAGGTGCTCCACTTTATGTTAAACCTGAAGTCAGCCTGTATCAATTTTCTCAAAAATGAAGCTGAAGTACAACAACAATATCCAATACCCGGCAAAATTCTAACTTGTCACATTTCAAATAATAACCAGAAATATAAAACTACTCTTGAGTTGGGTAAATACCACAATTTTGCGGTGATAACTATGACATATAACAGCTGATTCGTGACGTCACGGATCTTATAACCAAACTGATAACTACACTCGCTTGAACGGATCGGTAAATACCAATCCAAAATGGTAAATACTATTTTCATTTGGTTATCCGCTTGGATTTGATTTATAAAAGCTAGTGCTGAGTTGACATATTTTAGAGATGTCACAACAAACCTATAAAAATCAAATCCAAGCGAATAACCAAAATTTCTGTGTTATGTGCCGCGGTTATAATATGGTTCAAGATGACACACGGGTTGATGACGTCAGTTACACGAATCGCTTGAACGCGTTGGTTTTAACCGTGGTTTTGTTGCAAGTTGTTTATTTTAGAAAAGCGCGTATATAATCTCTGATTATTTTTATTATCACTTAATAATCGGTGCTTTTTCGTCTACAACTGTATATGGAAAGTTTAAATAAGAAACGTTTCATAATATTCATGGGAGAAATGTTTTTTCAGATTTTTTTTTTAATGATGGAACCATGGCTTTGTAGCTATGATAACTTTCAATTCTCTAAATTTTTCCGCATGTCAAAGAAAACATTTATTGATTCAGCAAGAAATGATGAAAAAAGAAATTAGCAAAACCGTATACAGGTGGATATCATCTAGTGAGTTTATATGGCCATATTTTAATATCCTTGTGGTGTATGGCTACACAGGATACTTTGTTAAGCATAGGAACTACATTTAAAGTGTCCCCAACAACCGTAATGAGTATAACTAATAAGGTGCTCCACTTTATGGTAAAACTGAAGTCAGCTTGTATCATTTTTCTCAAAAATGAAGCTGAAGTACAATAACAATAATCAAATTCAAGCGGATAACCAAATGGAAATGGTATTTACCATTTTGGGTTGGTATTTACCAATCCGTTCAAGCGAGTGTGTAGTTATCAGCTTGGTTATAAGATCCGTGACGTCACGAATCAGCTGTTATATGTCATAGTTATCACTGCAAAATTGTGGTCTTTACCCAACTCAAGAGTAGTTTTATATTTCTGGTTATTTGAAATGTGACAAGTTAGAATTTTGCCGGGTATTGAATATTTTTATTGTACTTCAGCTTCATTTTTGGGAAACTTGATACAGGCTGACTTCAGTTTTAGCATAAGAGAGCACCTTATTATTTATAATCATCACTGTTGTTGAGGACACTTTAAATCTAGTTCCTACACTTAAAAAAGTATCCTGTATAGCCATATACCACAAGAATATTAAAATATGGCCGTATAAACTCACTGGATGATGTCCACCTGTATACGGTTTTGTTAATATCTTTTTTTCATCGCTTTTTCATCATTTCTGCTAAATCAATAAATATTTTCTTTGACATGCGGAAAAGTTTAGAGAATTGAAAGTTATCATAGCTACAAAAAACATTCCTCCCATTAATATTATGAAAATTTTCTTTTTTTCAACTTTCCATTCCCCGTTGTAGACGAAAAAGCATCGATTATTAAGTGATAATAAAAATAATCAGAAATTATATACGGGCTTTTCTAAAATAAACAACTTGCAACAAACCGCGGTTAAAACCAACGCGTTCAAGCGATTCGAGTAACTGACGTCACCATCCCGTGTGTCATCTTGAACCATATTATAACCGCGGTACATAATACGGAAATATTGGTTATCCGCTTGGATTTGATTAATGTCACTCTTCAAGATACGTATTACTCCTTCGGATATGACTGACTAAGACGCTTTCTACATATTGAGCAATATAACTATACAAAGTACGCCGTCAAGTTTTTACTTTTTGTCTACCTATACTAACGTGAAAGGTACAGGTTGACATGGAGAAGGACGACGATCGATGAGGCGAGGTAAATGAAATAAGCCCACGAGTTGTGTGACAAAATGAAGAAGGCAATATGGTCTAAAAAATTATGGATACAGTCTAATTTGGGAATAATAAATAGTGGATTTATAGAAAATTATTATTCCTTTTGTGAAAAAATATTTTTAGGTGTATCAGATTTTATACTGATCCACCTTGTATAACTGATATATTTGGCATCACCGCAGTTGTACGCAGCTCACAGCTGATTATCAATGTCAATTCTGTCATTGTGCAAAAATATCCTTGTCCCTTGCATATTTTTGTGAATTAGGGGAGTTATAGACCATAATTTTGAATTTGTTTTTAAACAGACAAAAAGGTTCAGTATCAGAGATTTCAGTATGGATATATGAAACACCTGGAATACACTTCCTAAAATCATACCCATTGTTACTATGAGGTCCTTTAAGTTTAACAAATTGATAATTTGATGATGAGCTATTTTTAGTTATTGGTTTCAAGACTTTACAATTGAAGAAAGAACAAACAACGAGATGAACCAGAAACGGAAATCTGTATTTAAACACATATACGAAAGGCAATATCTAACAAAACTGCCAAAACTTTCTGAAGTCACTAAAGGTTAAAGGTAAATAACTGCAAATTGCATAAAAATGCATCTTCTTTGTTTACAGATGATGAGGGATTAGTCCAAAGATTAGATCTACTGAAAAGTCTACCAATCCATGAGGGATGTGTGAATACAATTTGTTGGAATGAAACTGGAGAATACATGCTGTCTGGCTCTGATGATCAACATCTTGTCATCACCAATGGATATGATTACAAAGTTAAAGCAAATTATCATACTAGTCATCGTGCAAATATCTTCAGTGCAAAATTTTTGCCATGTACCAATGATACTCAAATAGTGTCTTGTGCTGGAGATGGAGTTATTTTGCATACAGGTAAAAATTGTGAATCCTCAGGTAAATATTTTGTCATTTCACAGTTCCTATTTAAATCACAGAACTTGTTGGAATTCACTTTGATTTCCTTATAAACATCTTTCCAGTATCAAATTACCATCTTACTAGAAATTTAATCTTTCATTTTGTTTGTTTATAAGTCAAGTAGGTTGACTCTGCTAGAGACTACAGTATATTCAGATAAGAGATAGACCGGACATAAACAAGACCACGTGATCATCGAACGCTGTAACATTCGGCAGGGACGTATTAAGAGTCACGCAGTACATATTTTAGATAGTAGATGCTGCTTTGCGTAACTTTGTAGTAAATTAGCACAATTCGATGTGTATACGATTGGTGATGGATATAGGATCATGTGGGGGTGGGGTAAGAAATATATAATGATGTAAATATACATAAGGGTTTCAAAATTTTCGCTTCAATTTCCAGCTTCGGATGCCGCCTGATGTTTGGTGAAATACAGTCGAATATAATCTCAAAATGGCGTTTAAATTAGCCTAAATTAAAAATAATCGTATATCTCTTAAAATTGCTTTTAGAATATTGATTAGTATATTTTTTGATTTCTAGGTAAATATGTAACCAAATTAAAACGTTCAAAACGTAAAAAAATGTGCATGGTTGAACATTGTCAGAAAGTAGATTCTTGAATAGGTTTTGCCAAAATGGGTTCAAAAATGTCAATAATTAATTAAAAAATACAGTAGCTTTATAATTACTTATAACTTACCGAATTTGATGAACGACATCTTTTATTGGAAAGATGAGCTTGATGAGCTTTCATCATCGCTACTGCCTGAAGCACCAACGTCAATAATGAATGGCTCGACTTGTTCCTCTAAAATATTGTCCAGTTCCCACATTCTCTTTTCAACTTTGTCTTTCACGTGCTTAATACAGTATTCCCATTTTTGCGCTGTTATTAATTCTAGTACTTCTTTGAAAAGTCCTTTGAGGTCACAAAATTTAAAAGTTGTATTGTGCTTAGCTATATAATTTTTAACCTTTAACGGAGCACAGTTTTATTTTGACTTGCTGCCATTTCGTCAATGGCGTATTTTTGATATTCCGCCTTGTGATCCTTGACAATTCTTAATAATTGTACTTTCAGCATTGCTTCTTCAAAGTTGATATTTTTCGAGCGGAGCCAATTTTGAACATCAACTTTCCTTGAAGCCATTGTTGGGACCTTCTCCATTCTTCGAGAATGATAAGGCGCATTATCCAACACAATTACTGCGTTTTCCTCTAAGTTCGGTAAAATTTTTGAAAACCACTGTTCAAACGATTCGCCATTCATTTCCTCGTGGTAATCTCCAGTTTTCTTAGACTCAAAGCACCACATACCGTCAACAACAAATCCATCCTCACTGCCAATATGGCAGATAATGAGCCTTTTCCCTTTACCTGGAAATCGAAGTACTAACTGGTGTAGATTTATTTCAATAAGTGAACCTTTTTCAAATGTTTTCATCACATTCAGCGAAAAAACATTGAGACATGAGTATCAGATTGCTATAATTGGGATTATTTAGTCATATTGAAAGAAAGAATATTGAACGTCGTATGATTACTCAGCGCTTCACAATTTAATATAAAGTTATAAACCTTTAAAAAATGAATGATCAGGAACCTGAAATACCCGCAAATATTAATATTAACAAATTATAACTTTATAAAGCTTAAAGTATGAATTAAAATGATTAGAAATATTAGGAACGGTACACAATATAAAACTTAGTAACTTTTTTTAAGTTTATAATATTCGACATATTTTAAGATTATATTAAAAAATTATTGAAATATCGAAAACACATAAAAACATGGCTTAAAAAAGTTCTAACAAATGAAAATGACAATAAAACATCCACGCATTTTATCGAAAGTTATAAAAGTTTTGTTACTTGTAATATGTTTTATCTGCCCCCTGGAATTAATGTTTAGAACCTTGTTCCCAAGGTTTGAAAAACATCCGATTGTTGTCTATTACTCGTATTTACCTGCTGGATTTTTTAATCCGGTGGACAGTCCATCTAGAAGGGCCCTCCTGGATGAAGTTACAGAATCATCAACCCATACTTTACTTGTAGTGTGTCCTGCGTTTACCCACGTTTCATCAAGGTAATAAATCTTCCCGTTTTGATTTCTATATTTCCCAATTTTTGTTAAATAATCCCTCCTCCATAGCACAATTTCTTCTCTATCCAGTAGTAAACTATTACGACCCCGTTTTTGCCATTTGAAATTTAAATGCTTCAGTAACGCATGGAAAGTTGAGCGTTTGAAATTTGGCAACGTTGTATCTCCATTTACCTCCTGCAGTACTTTATCTATAGTAGGTATTTCATTCCTAAAGAAGAATTCATGCACTTTCCTCCTAATCGCATGCTTATCGGCTTCATCCAATGATTTAACAATACTTTTGCGATGTTTACTGGTCATTGGCTTAGAAAAGGTGTGATTTTTTTTGTCTTGTCTTAACACATTAAACACTGATGCGCGACACACCCCAACTTTGTGAGAAACCTTCACAACAATTTCTTTGATGGTTGATGCCTCGTTCTCCTCGCGCTCGATCTTATATATATTCAAAATGACCTCTTTCATTTCTGCACTCAGGTGTCTTTTTTTAGAGCGTTTCCTAGGTGGACTACAGGAGTTTACAACTTCATCGGCAGTATCTGTACTACTAGGCATTTTGCGCAAGCAATTGATAACAATAACAATCAATAACAAGGTATAACAATAACAACGACAAACTCAACAACTTAATAAGATAACAAACGAAAACGTCCAAAGAAATATCAAATTGCAATGATGCACACGACATACGTAACACGTCTGAACCTGAATGTGACTCTGCCTTGATACGACTGCTCTGCCGCTCGGCATAGGCATTTAATTGCGAATTGACCAATGAGGGCTCCTGTTTTACGTCGAGACGGCGGCGTTAGCGTGAAAATCACCCGAACCTTTTGTTTACATCCGGTCTATCTCTTATCTGAATATACTGTAGAGATGATGATGTGTAAAGAAAATTAAATGGATAAAGGTGGTCAAATATTCTCATACATTTAGTTACCACCTATTTGATAATATTGTAATCTGGAAGTTTCAACTAGTGGCTTGCCTTTGTTTCCCACACATATCTACCAAATTCTATTGAGTGATATATCTGGTTTAGTTGAAGATCTAACTGATGTTTACCCTACTTGGATAATTTTTTGTGTATTTTATTACGAATTTTGCAACTATTTAAAAAAATGGAGAATTGATATGTAAACATACAGAGAGATCCATATACCACTGATATCATATATGTTGCCTAGAAGTCCAAGGCCATGGATGCAGCTGCACCTTGCCGCATTGCTATCGGCGCACTCTTATTATGTTATTATCTTTAGATTTTGTATCATCAAAAGTGGGAATTGAAAAAAATCCTCTCTGGTGGTGGATCAAAGACTGATGTGCTGTGTAACAAGTAGTCACTGTAACTCCTGTGCTCCAAATTTGTTGCTTCTAATTTGCCCAAATGCTGTATATAATGAAATGTTTACTTACTCGAGGATGACTGATATGAATGAAAATGAGTTATTGTGCCTTAAGTATGATCGCTAGGCCTTTAGCCTCACATACTATTTTGTGAATAATGATGAGTTCTATAAACATGTAGTACTAGATTTTATGTGATAACAATAGGTTTTGCAGTGTACACCTAATAATTACTTTAAATAGGGAAATTTTGTATAACAATTGTGTCATGTTTCAGTCAATTTACACACAACTTGAATAAATTACACACCTAAACCTTACCCGTTATAGACGCCCCAGGCCGACGAAAATGCGTAACATGGTTTTTCATGATGTGTATATTAAGGAACCTCTAATAGTTAATGTTTTTGTTGCAATATTTGGCTATAAACATAGCAACTAAATGCCACCCATCATGAACATATTGCAGCATGTTCCCGACTATATATCTCGGCTATATATCAGCTAAGTCTCGTCTCTATCCTGGAAGTATTGTCTGCAATGTGCATACATATACACTTCACAGAATTTTTCATCAAGCAAGAATATCTAACGAAATTGTATCCGTCGCGACAGCTTATATTATTTATTACTTATAAGAATCTTTCCGCCGTTGTTGGTGGATAGAGACGATGTTTTGTATTGTTCACCTTTCAGAATCAGGAATTAAGCAGAATTGTTCATACGCTGTATTGTTAACGAATATTCACTTTTGCTTATTTGCATTATTTAATTTATCATCGTTTATTAACAATACAGATATTATCTGTGCCTTGCTCTACATGAGTACATCCACTACAAATAGCTTCTTGAATATCCTTTCCATAGAAAATAATGTATGCTTATGTATTGCTTTATTACTTTGGTAGCCAATGGTAGTCAAATTAGCCAAAAGTGTGCACTGAAACTACATAGATCTGTCGACAAACAATGCAATGTAAAAATATAGGCTTGGGTCCGTTGCCACATATCGCTAAAAATGCACGGACACGCGATCATCGTAATTCCAAAATAACTATTGTTAACCACACTTGACACTTGAAAAACAGTTTTAATAAACAAATGTCATTGTTGCTAATTTTGTCTGATAATCAATATTACACAAGCCAGATTATTTACATGTTTTATGATTTTGAAAGAATTACCTCTTAAATCACTCATTATATCTTGTTACCAATTTCTATCCCTAGGAAGAGTTATTGTTGAGGAGAGAGTTAGTTTACCTCAAGGTGTGACAGCAGACCCTTCCTGGATAGCTATATGAAACCAGCCAGTGTATGATACAAGATTTGAAAAATAAATCATGCTCATTTAACCAGTGTTGAGATGAGTATTTTTCTTGTTTCAGATCTCAATAGACCTCAAGAAACGTATGACAGCCAATTACTCTGTCATGCAGGCACTACTACATATGAGGTCATTACAATTCCTAATGATCCTTTTTCATTTTTAAGCTGTGGCGAAGATGGCACTGTTCGTTGGTTTGATTTGAGATCAAAATCTAGGTAGGTATCCACCAAGTCAAGGTTATAATTCCAAAATTTTTTGTTTTTGCTGTTTTAATTGAATTTTGAGAAACTACCTCATTCAGAAACATATTGTAGACAATTTTTTTGATTTCTTTTTCTTAAACGTGTTAGATAATCTACAGAAAACACATTAGAGCCTTCCATGCTATCTGGAGGCAGAGGAATTTGTGAAGATTAGGGATCTTCACATTCTAAAAAATAATTTTCAAATGATACAAAAAACTTTGAATTTTAGACACTTGTTTTGGAAAGACCATGTCTAAAAATTAAGGGCTGTATTGTCAGTCGTTCCTACAATTTATTGTTTACGCCTTCATGGCCTGCTTGATTTTCATAGTTTTGTAATGTTCCGTGTCAGCGCTCTATTTTGAGGTTATGTCACAAACATCTATTTGCATCAAATTGTGCTTGCTTTTGAGTTATATCTCACAAATATGTTTTTGCATCAAATTGTTCATGCATATATATAGATGTATAGTATTCATAGTTAATTGCCTTAACTGTTAGGAGAAAATATATATGATTTAAAAAACATAGCTATGGTGTTGCCATATATTAATAAATTTAAAGAACTTCCGTCTCATCGGTCCAGCTTTTTGTTTGACGACTATGTGTTCTCTTTCACTGTCATTTGAGAACAATTTTAAGAACAATCTCGCCGACTTAGTAAGTAATTATTTACCTCCTAATTGTTTATTGTTGCTATGTTTTCATAAATTGTTTGTTAGCTCCAGACGATGATGGCATAGACCATCGAAAGCTCGAGTTCAAGTTATAAGAGTTTACTTATGCAAAACTTTGCCTTCAACCCAAAGAAATTTAAGGATATATATAATATCATCTGTTTTATCAGCCTGACCCTACAATTCAAAATGAAAAAGATAACTTCACAATAAGAGACCGCTGACGCTGACACGGAACGGTAGAAATCCAGAAATACCCCAGCTTTTCTGAAAGAGAGAAAATACTACGAAAATCAAGGATGCTATAAAGGGGTTCTGCCATGGAGAAGTTTTGTGATGTTCAGAATCGCACAAGTGATGACATACAAGCAAAATATAGATGAAATGTAATCAACCAATGAGAAAATGTGTGCTTCAATTTGGCCCACTATAGCGCGAAATCATTGCTGCTGTCAGTTCGCGTCTGATGTCACACGTCTCTAGTTCCGAGCGTGCCGATAGCGTTTGTGCGTTTAGTAATTAGTCTATAGACAATTCACAAGACACACCTGTGCCCAGGGCCACATGGTTTCTCGTTGACAACTATTGAGTACTGTGCAAGTTCGTACGAGGGATGTCTTTTAAGTTTTGCATATAGAAACATAGTAGGCCGCGCGGATCGAACGTCAGTACTGAATCTTAACCTCACTCTTTAGTAAACGTAAATTCAAAGTTTCACAACAATACGTGCACTGTTCTCACTACAGTGAATTTTAAAGTGTCATTAGAAAAATGGAACTCAACCGAGAACATTTTCGCTCCATAATTTATTACAACTTTTAGAGAGAATTATCGCAACAAGAATGCCTTGCTGAGTTACTGTCTGTTTTCGGCAACGAAGCGCCACATCAGTCGACAATTTCCAGTTGATATGGAGAATTCAAACGTGGACGGGTGAGTCTTAGCGACGATCCTAGGGTGGGTGCACCAAAAACGGCAGTCACCCAGGAAAACGTCGATTCTGTGCGCAAACTCATCATTGAAGATAGACATGTGACATATCGCGAGATTGAGGCGTCCTTGAAGATCTCAAAAACCTCAATTCAAAAAAATTTACATGAAGAATTAGGAGTAAGAAAATTAGTTTCTTGTTGGACTGAAAATTAGTTTCTTCTTGACTGAAGAGCAGAAAGCAGCCAGGGTTAATTGGTGTCAAAAAACGCTTGACCGTTTCGATTCCGGATACTCAAAAAATGTGTAGAGCATTGTTAGTGGTGATAAATCGTGGATTTACTGTTACGAACCAGAAAATAAACGACAGTCGGCTGTTGGGTGTTCCAAGGTATAGAAAAGCTAACAAAAGTCATTGGTTCTCGAAGTGTTTCGAAAAAGATGGTCGCGACATTTGTATCAAAAGCGGGTCATATTGCAACAATTCATCTTAATGAGCAGCAAAGAACTGTTACTGAGGATTGGTATACCATCATTTGTTTGCCAAAAGTCATCACCGAGCTTCGAAAAATCAACCCCGAAAGAAGAATCATCCTCCACCAAGACAATGCAAGCTCGCACACAGCCCAAAAAACAAGGCAGTATTTAACGGAAGAAAATGTGGAATTATTGGACCATCCTCCATATAGTCCCGATCTAAGTCCTAACGATTTCTTTACTTTCCCGAAAATTAAAAACAGACTGCGTGGTCAAAGGTTCCAGTCACCAGAAGAAGCAGTTGACGCATTCAAAAATGGCGGCTTGGATCTGCTTCGAAAATTGGTTCGAGCGCATGCAGATGTGTATTAATCTTCGTGGAGAATACTTCGAAAAACAATAAAGTCATTTAAAACTACCTACCGTATTGTTTTATTCCCATATGCAAAACTTAAAAGACATCCCTCGTACCATTATGGAAGCCGGATTTGTAAAAGGGTTAAGAGACAATCTATCATATACAAGCGCGGCAATAAAATGTGTGAAACTTTGGAAGTAAGGAGTTATGCCTACTGCAACACTATCACAACTAGCTTTAAATTGTGCAATAACCTACTGAGGTTTTAAACAAATTAGTGTTAATGCCTGATATGAGTACAGATTTGCGAATATGACCCGATATTTTCCAGGACAGGTAGAGATTCGTATCGTGAAGATAAAGGGTGTCCCAAAATTAACGCAAGATTTGAATTAAATAGAAAATGCCATTTTTAGTCTTTTAATAGTTATATTTTTATTGACTCATAAAGTACATAGGATAGGGTTATGTATGGAATAACACATCGGACAAATGGCCTCCACGGCTTTGCATGCACATGCGCACTCTTTTGTCGAAATTTTCCATGACCCTTCTGCATAAATGTGGCTGAATTTCGTTGATGCAGCGTTGAATCTCCTCCTTTAATGCACGGGTGGTTGTGGGCTTGTTGACATAGACTTGTGATTTCAAATAACCCCATAAAAAGAAGTCTAATGGTGTTAAATCACACGATCTAGGAGGCCAATTTTGATCACCGAAACGAGAGAGTACACGACCGGGAAATGTCTCATGCAGTAATTGAATTGTTTCACGGGCTGTATGACATGTGGCACCGTCTTGTTGAAACCACATATTGGGTACATCAATATCATTCAATTTTGGCAGAAAGAACTGTGTAATCATGTCGCGATATCGAGCACCAGTAACAGTCACTGCTTGACCAGCATCATTTTCAAAAAAATATGGCCCAATTATGCCTCCAGCCCAAAATCCACACCAGACAGTCACGCGTTGTGGGTGCATTTCTTTTTCGACAATCACACGTGGGTTCTCCGAACCCCAAATGCGGCAATTTTGGCGATTGACAAAGCCATCAAGATGAAAATGTGCTTCATCGCTTAGGATGATTTTGCTTGAAAAATCAGGGTCCATTTGTTGATGTTCAATAATCCATTCAACAAACTCTCTTCTCTCTGCATGGTCATTAAGCTTCAATTGTTGTGTTAATTGAAGTTTGTAAGCATGAAGACACAGATCTTTGGTGAGTATACGCTGTAGAGAGGTTCTTGACATTTGCAATTCTTGTCCACGACGTCGAATTGAGGTTCCTGGATTGTCCGCAACACTCTCACGCACTGCTTCGATATTCACATTTGAACGGCTTGTTTTTGGACGACCAGTGTGTTTGGCGTCTCCAACGGATCCAGTCTCCATGAATTTTTCAATTAATCTCTTCACAGTTGACGAAGTTAAAACACTATTCCGGCCATATTTTGTATGAAATTTTCGAACTGCAGCCGCCAAGCTTTCGCTATTTTTGAAATATTCTTTAATAATGAAGACACGTTGTTATATCGTGTAACGCTCCATTTTTCATAACCCTATACTGTTAGCTGACAAATTGCTTTTTTTCAGGGTTGCCAACACTTCACTGCACAAATGGCGGCAAATTCAAATCTTGCGTTAATTTTGGGACACCCTTTACTATTGGTTTTGTTCAGTTAAAACGTGAAGGTACTAAATGCATTGTAAAATGCAATGTTATAAAATGAAAACTACGCCTTACCAGTGTAGTTAGTCTGTGACGAAAGTGAGGAAAAAATTGAAACTGTTGAGTGTCATAATTGTGCTGCTAAGCTTGGCGCATGTAAACTCACAACGTTTTTGATCTTGCTTTTAAAAAGAAGCGAGGAACCTGCAAGTACTTCAGTAGAATGTTACTGGATGAAACCAGTGCTATCTAAAGTTGGCAGTAGTATTAAGTTTATTAAAGCGAAATATTTCAATAACGAAAGTGGAAGTTCTTCAAATTTAGACTTAGTAGAAGATCCTAACTCCTTCAATAGACTCATTTATTAATGTAAACGAAGGAAACTTAATAAGACCCAAGTAATAGCTTACTTTACAGATACAAACATAGAAATTCAAGATTCACTTTTTGAGTTTAATTTTTGTGTCATGATCACTTGCTACAGGTATAGATAGTATAATCTTCAAGCAGTTGATCTTCTAGTGCTTTTGATTAATCGTAAGTTGAGTTGAATGAATTCGAATGGTTGCTAACTTGAGATGGAGGCAACATCGTTCTTTAACTAACTTATATGCTCCGCTCTTAAAGGCCGCCCACCTTTTTACAGTCCAACGTATGAGGGTTTACTCTAACTTTAAGCTTCAATCTTCTACCGACTAGTTTATATTTTATCAGATTTTCAGTATGATTCTCAATCTGTAATATCAAGAAAGCATTCGAAGTCACAATTTGAAGTAACCTAATACCCAATTTGATAAAGATGTTACTGTTCTAGAATCGCATTGAAATATATAATAACATTGCACATGATGCTGTACAGAGACAACCTACTTGACGCCTTTTTAGGGGGGTAAGTGACACTATAGTAGCTCACAGCTATTCTCGCTGAGTTGAAGTAAGTGATCTGTAATATTAGTTGATAAATATTTCCCCGCCAAATGCAGTGAAATAAGCTTGGAAATCATATAGTATAATAACTAATAATAAATAAATAGTAAAGTGATATACTCATATCAAAGTGGTCCTCTCAGACATATTTTGTACTTTTTGAGCCGGTACTTCATATTTATTTACTCATTCTTTGTATTGTGTTGCAGGAGCAAATAAATATTATTAGTACATATTATTATTATTATCATAAGGTTGCACCGTTTCTTCCTGATATTTTCATGTGAGGGTACGTAGAAAAAATGCTTATTAGGAGTTGTTGTGCTCGTACATCTTGGAACGATCGTATATGCAGTCAACTTATTTAACAAATTGGCGCGGAAGAAGTTCAGCTTACCACGTGTTCCCGCTGTGTGTTTAAATATGTGTGTGTGTTTAGGAAATTGAGTCCATCCGGGTCCTGGAGTCCGCCACGGCCGTCGCAGCTGGATAGCGAAGTGTGATGTCACGCGTCGCGTTCAGACGGAATAAAAATATTCTCGCAGGGCGTAACTTTGATAGGCTGTAATTTTTTTGTTTTTAGAGATAAATCAATAATTGTTTCACCATCTTGTTCCAATTTTTTTCTTGAAATTTCATTTGAGCTAATACCAAAAAAAGTGGTACACTTGTTCATTGTAAGAACGACTGATGATACGGCCCTTTATTGATAATTAACTGTACAATCCAAGTTTTAGGAGTTGAAATAATGGTTATTCAAACGTTATTAATTTCATAATTTCATGTTTCATCCAGCAGATTTGATTCATATATCTTGTAGTTGCTATAAGTCAAGATGCAGTGAAGATATTATAGTCTCATGTCAACGAGCTGTGACTGCTCTAGCTATCAGCCCTACCAACTCTTACCAGCTTGCCATAGGATGTGCTGACTCAATGGTACGAATCTATGATCGTAGGAAGCTGAGCACCCAGCCAGGAGGTATGTTTGGTAATAGTTAGAGACCAGAGATCCCTCATACTGTATATTTTTAAATATATACGATATGTCAACACTAGCTAAAATATTGATATGCACATACTTGTATGCAGTATTTTAGCCAGAAGGTGTCTCTAGCCATACATAATTAAGTTTGAACTCTGCTTAATCTAACCAAAAATATTCCAGAACACTTGCTAGCTCAACCATTCTGCACCTTTGTCGCTCCACATTTTGGAACTGATAGACATTATAGGATCACATCTCTTAGTTATAGCAATGATGGTCAAGATATGTTGGTCAGCTATTCTAGTGACTATCTGTATCTATTTCATGTTAAGGTAAGTAATGTATCAAATACGAGTTTAGTTCAAGGAGAAAATAGTATTGAACTTGTCTTTCAAAATACACATAACGTTTAAGTAAAATAATTATTTGTGAAATCCAAAAACGACTTGGAACACTCATCTCAAATTTTGCGTGTTAAGAATAATAGTTATAGGAAATCAGAAGATCGTGAATATGATTATCCATTACCCTCTAATAAATTGGGGTATTGACTATACGTTTTCAATCAGGAAAATATTACGACTGAATTAAAGAAGACAAGAAAAAAGTCATCATGGGACAAAGTAAAGGCTGTGGCAGGTAAACGAGAAAGATTGTCCCCACCTCCTGTTAGAAGATTACGTTTGAGAGGTGATTGGTCTGACACAGGACCTGATGCAAGACCAGAAAGGGATACAACTTCAACTGTCAGTAAGTATTTTAGTATTCAGGATTTTTTAAATAAGAATTTTCTCATACAAGGAGTCCAATGGTAGTCTCGATTATCAAACATCAACCATGTATGACCTTTATTTATATTTATGAACACAGTTCAGAAAGTTATTTATAAGTAAAATAGTATCTGACTAAAACTTCTTGCTTATGCCACTCATATAAGCAAAGAGTTATTAACAGCTTGGTTCGACGACTGTGTCGTGACTGCCATTTTTTATCCCATATATTTTTTTTGATTACACCAATGTTGGTTAATACCAGCACTGTGTGGTGACCAAATCTATAGTTTCATACTCTAGGCTCATTATGTATTTTCTAAAGTAGCTTAGGTTTCTGTACTTCAGGACACCATGTATAACAGGAAAATCGGTTTCGCCAGTTTGGCTAAAATTAAAAAAGTAGCGGTTTTTGTTTATATGAGGACCCTATATAACTGAATATTTTAAAATTGCTTTCCCTTGGACCTAGTTCTAGTTTAGAAGGAAAATATCGTCCATGCGTGGTTAGGCCACCCTGTATAACTACCGTAATACTATACCAAGAAAATATCAGTTTATTAGACTCATATGTTTTGAAACAACAAACTTTGTAAAATATTGAGTAGCGGTTAACAAAAAAATATCTTAAAATTCGCCATATTTGGATGATAATTTTTAAATCTTGAGTATAAAATAATGTGTGTGCCCGAAAAAATATACTTTGCTTTTCCAGCCTTTTTCGCATAGCGGACTTACTGCGTCAGCTTTTAAGAAAATTATAAAGTAGTGTATCTATGATATGAGGCTAACTGAAACTAGTGAAAAGTCGTTTTTTGGTATTGGCCTGAAATCATCAACTTTCCAACGTATAACATAATATATGAGAAAAATTACCAGCAAAAATCGCGATATTTTTAAATTCTATTTTTGTTTAACCAGTTTCCGCCCCTCCCTAGACATACAGATATTCTTGTTGTATACTGTGCTTGAAGCACCTCCAATAGAAACTGAACTACTTCACAAAACATCCACCTACATGCCCTTTTGGTATAATCCGCCTGGGGTATCTTCTGGAAATTAATTCGAACGAACTCATGATATTTAGCCCACATGCTGCTTTAAGCATTGCGGTGGCGGTAAAGTAACTCTAACGTCCGTAAACGACTTATGCTTAGTGGCCATGATCACTTCCGGCATTTATTTGTTGCTATGCAACGGCTGCGACCAATGATATAGTACGCTCAATTTCTTTATGTCGTTAAAAGCAACTCAATTTTTTTTGGCTATAACCTACCGTAATAAGCAAGTGCCATAAAGGCCGCTACGCCATAGATACGTAAATAAAAATAACGTTCTTAAGATTTAGGACAAGCTAGGCCTCAACTGCAAGCCACGTTGATGCAACGCATGACCGACGTGCTATCACGCATGTTGAACGATCCGATGACGAGAGCAGCCCTCAGTGCTGGCGGTGAAGATTCCGTCGAGGATGAGAATTCGCAGAGGGTAATAGAAGCTCGCGAAGGGGAAGCCACAGCGGCTGCAGCTTCCCCTTCTAATGAGATGGAAACTGATCAGTCGGGAGAGAATCAGAGGTAATTAGTTATAGTCAGGAATAATAAGCACACTTTACTGGCCCAACGAACCCTTGATTCATATTGAGTTTATGTCCCTGCACAATGATCATTGGACTGCTAGTATCGCGCTTCTATACGAAAAAATATAACTGGCAACCTGACAAAAATAGAGGAAAATCCGACCGACATTAATTGCGTTCGTTTAGCAAGTGAAGTGAGACAGTCCAAGCAGAGATGAGTTTGTCAAATCAGTGAATGTCTGGCTCGTCCAGAATGTCGTCTTCTAACCTTGATCAGGACACAATCTAAACATATCCCATCCCTGATTATTTTTTACCATACAGTAGGGCATGGTATCCTATATCCACTGCTGTTCTGTGGTCACATTTTCAATTCGGTGGATCTTGCACATAAAAACAAAATAAACTCAACCTAAAAGCTCTAAGGGAGGATAAATCTCACTCAGCTGAGGTTGGTCTTAGTGTAATGCAGTTGGGACAATGGGGGAGAAAAAAAAATGTCACCTCATTTAAACTGGGGCTATGTAAAAGGAACGTACAATCAACTGACCCGACTGAATTGAGGTGAGCGTTTCTAAGAATCAGTGTAAAACCAACGCATCTATTCACTTGTGACTATATGTAGTACTTTTACGTCAAATGTGACAACAACGAACAGCTAATTATCTAGTAGGATTCAAAATACCCTATAAGAATATCATACAATTTGGGGGAACTGTTAACGTAATGAAGTAATGTGAAAAAGTCCATATTGACGGTCATAACCTACAAAGCTTCATCTCTGAGAAGTGTCGGTATGCTGGCTTGCTGAAAGTTAGTCACGATACGGAAATCAGTACGGTAGATCTGACACCTTTATTAGGTTGACACCCTTATTTTTAAATTTTGTATAATTCACATAGTTTTGCCAGGTCAGCAATTGTATTCCTCTCGGTATATAAGTGCGTCATAGCGTTCCAACCGCCATTGTGTAAGGACAAAATCAAAGTTCGATGATAAAGAAAGACGTTGAACTGTGGTTGTACAACTGCAGGGATCTGACCAAAGATTATACTGACAACTGATTTTTTTTATTATCGAGAAATTAAACAGGATTATTCGCCTACTATCGTAGTTTTGCCTCATTATTGTTATTACTGATGCGCGCTGGATATGTCATTAAAAACAGTTGCATTGTTGTCATCATTCTAGTCGACTTTCCAGATATGATGACTGTATCGTATTGAGGGCAGAAGCCAACCTGCAGGGCGGTACATATTTTATCCAGTTTTCGCCGATGGAGTATTCTCTTAGATAAAATTACTTTTTTGATAACAAAAATGGACTACTCACGTCCATGCAGTTAAACCTCGTAATTAGCTCACGCATTGGAAAAAGTATTGAAATTCGTACATTAAAACAAAATTATTTGTTAGAGAATAAAGGATGTTTTCCTGGAATTTTATGGAAAACTTACCACTATTCTAAGAACAGGGCCTAGAAAACTTATTACGTCACGCTGAAACTAGTTATACTAGTTATGCTTTGACGCAACATTTTACGTTCGACCCCTGAATTGCAAATTTTGTCACTTCTCATTCATCCATTAATTTTGGACTCAAAAAATCATATTCCGACGAATGTGCATCTTCCAGTATGCCTTTGCTGGCGCCAAAGTTTTTCCTGGTTGCACGCACTGCACTTAACTCTTCAATTACGATATTTTAGGAATGAGCTACAATTTGAAATGGTCATATGTATTTTTCATCGCTGATCCATTGTTTATACGTCCCTGTGTAGTTGTAAACGTTTCTCAGGATAACGATAATTTTTACCATAAAATTTCTGTCATTACTACTTATTAATAAAAAAAGAACATATTGTAAACCTACTGAACTATGTTTTACAATATCCAGATTTAACAGCCTGAATTTGTGAGTGTCGATTGCATGGAACGATTTCGTTTTTCAGCGCCACTGAAACCACAACTACTAACCAGGAAACTAACCAATCAACATCAGAGACCCCTACCACTCCCAGTTCAAACCGTTCAAATATAACTAGTCACCTACACAATCACTTGACTGCATTGAGAAATCTCCGTGAAGGATTCATTGAACAGCATGGTGCGGAGCCTTCCGTCAGTTTTAGGTATATTGCATTATTTTTTTGTATATCCATAATTGTTGTAATGTTTTGCTAGATGCTAACTGATTGGGAAAAATTGCGATGCTTGTTTAGCGTAAAGTATGTCAAGTAATTGAACCGGTGGTACTCCTACAGTAGGAATTTATAAAAGTTTTCTGAGCCGTCAATGGTCAGGCGTCGAGTGACAACCCAACAATCGCACTGACGTAAACTACATTGTAACTAGAATAGGTTGACATATTCTGCAAAAAATAATACTATATTTTTTCGAGACCTAAAAGCCCTAAAACTTTTGTTTAAAAATATTCTTTCATAGACAGGCGAAAACGCCGTCCGACATACAAAGGGTACTATAAAAGTTTTGCAATACAGCTTTATTTATTGACTGCATTCAAAGTAATTTCCACCACATTCAATACACTTCTCCATTTGCCAAAACCAGTCCTTAAACCAGCTCTGCCAAGTTTCACCTGGGAGTGCGGCACACTCGTTGTCCAAAGCCCTCAGAAAGGTGCTCATCGCTAGAAAACCGTTTTCCTTTTAGCCTCATTTCCACATGCGGAAACAGTGCAAAGTCGCAGGGAGCAGGATCTGGACTGTAAGGAGGGTGCTTAATAATTTTCAGTCCAGTAGTGGTCAACTACTCGGTGCAGGCTTTAGCACGGTGAGCTGGAGCGTTGTTATGGTGGAGGTACCAAGTGTCCTTTCCTGATTTTGGCCGTAGGTTTTTCATAGACTCTATGACTTTAGGCAGACAGTTTCGTGTACTACTTAGCTGTGACTGTCTTCTGTGTATCCAAAACGACACGCTCCACAATATCGCTCGATTTAAAAAATACAGCTATCATTTTTTTTCTTAACAGATCGGGATTTTCTGACAGCTACGGGTGTGTCCTCATCATCGAAGATCCAAACTTTGCTTTGAACCTTCGTCGGCACATCGTAAAAATAGAGCCGTCTCGACACCTGTCACGATGCTGTTTACATACCGAGATTGCCCCTTATCAAACATTTTCAGCATCTTTCGGCACCAAGTCGTACGACGAGTATTATGCTCTTCCTTCAGACTATGCGGTACCCAGAGAGAACGTTTCCCTACGTGTAAATGGTCATGCAGAAATGAATGAATTGCTGGTGCATGAAGGTGTAGGGTCTCCTTTATCTGTTGGTATATCACTCTCCGGTGTTCGTCAGGCATTTTCCTCACAGCAGTAAGTTTTCCTTTGTTATTGACGTTAGCGGCGTTCCCTCCCTTTCAGCGTCCTCCAGAGTGAAATTGCCCCTTTGGAATCCCCTGTCCCACCTGAATATAGTCGTACGAGGAGGATAATCATTCTTTAATGCAAACGTCATTTCTTATAAGGTCGATGCTTAAACCACGCGTAAAATTATACCGTAAAACTGCCTTTATCTCACTACGTGACAACGATGCCATAGTCCGCACTTTACACTGTCAATACGAATAAACAACTAAATACGTAGGCGTGCTACTATGCACTCATGGGCATGTCTCAACATGCAGTAACATGCAGCCTTTTGCGTCCGTTTGTTAAGTCATATTGCAAAACTTTTATAGTACCCTTTGTATTTGGCACATAGTATGCTCTGACAGCAGCACTACCTCTCAAACTTATGAACATTACTGCTACTAATTTACATGAAAAACATAATAAATGTGAAAACACATTGATAAAATCTGCAGGAAAGCTGTGGATTGAGTACCCAGGGGAATAAATATTTAAATTGGAGGTAAGCTATGACAAAATCACTATACAATTCGCTTGCAGATCTGTAATTATGCAGAGGTTATGACGCATTGGCTTAGTCCTTAATTGGTTCTGAAAAGGAAGATTATGTAAATGTACTTATTACTTATTCTTCCTATGCATACCTATCATTATATCAGACGCACTGTACCTGCATAGAAGTCATGATATTCCTCAGCAGAGCAGAAATCTGGGTTGAAGGCAAACAAATTATCAAACACCAATGTGTCAATTTCCTTGCAAATTTGAGCTTTCTGCTCTTACCAGACCTTGATTGTTTTTTTAAGAAAACGAGAAAATGATAACTGATACTTGGATTAGAAGTTTTTTAGAAGTGTTTATAACAAGCATCGTTAATCCACGAGTGGCATACGAATTACGTTTCTTTCTTTACAATTTGTATGACGTCATATCATGGCAGTATCGTTTTCACCGTTTCAAATTAAAAATATATTTGTTTAAATTGGACTTGTGTATCCATGTTGCGCTTTTATATATTGAAATCGATATATTTCATTTTTCTAAGCCAAATACATTCAGAAATACTAATTTATCCTATGAAATTAGGTATGAGTCAAGTAGCCTATATATCGCTTATTATTATGTGTTAAAATAATCATCTGGGGCAGGCTTGAGCTATATTTAATGAGTGTTGTTTGTACTGCAAGATACACGTTCACTTGTGTTGTTTATGAAATACAATAAGAAAATCAAGATTATTTATAATAAAATTTACGACTTCACCTTTCCACCAGTGGCAACTATATAAATGTTAACCGAGACCATGAAATTCCGGCGGCATAGCGGCGAAATATTGATAATTCAGTACATCTTTGTAAATTCACAGTTCTATGATATGCTATGCTTCTTTAGTGTATACTATACAAAGTGACTGTGACGTCACTAGAAATCGGTTTTGGTTCTGCCCAATAACTTTTGAACGACACTGTAGAATTTAACAAAATTGTGACTAGTTGGTTCCTCACAAGATGGAGTCCATGGAAAACAATTAATTCATTCAGAATGCTCAGGGATGGACTAACCCCAACCCAATATTGATAAGTTTTGTACTCCCTACATTATAATCACCGGACGATAACATGTTTAGAATAAGTGATGATATTGGTTCAGCAAAGTTCTCTTAATTTTGCCGTGGATCCATATCTATAATTTAGATGTAAAGTATTCTAAAAATGATGTTTAAAAAACCGAAACTTTGTCCCACTGACAAATTATACGCAGATGTTCGAATGTATGATATAAGACAGCTTTATTTCTTACACAGTATCACTCACTACCATAAATTTGTAAACACCGACCAAAAAATTAAACATAACACAAGGTACAAAACTCGTGGCACAGTAGTTCCTCAGCCGCATAAATCTATAATGCAGCGGTCATATCTCTATTTAGCGCCAAAATTTTCTGAAATTATACTTAAAGACTTAAAAGATTTACGTTTCAGAAATTGTTTCAAAAGAAATTTAAAAAAGTGGCTTCATTCTATATCTAGGACTGAAATTCATAAACTCATAAAAAAACTCAAGTAAATACATAATCTACTGTAGCTAATTTTTGTCCTTTTTTGTCATTTGCATTCTACAGTTGCAACTTAAAATGATTGGTCCATGTACAGGCAGTGCCTTCTATTGGGCCTGTTTTGATTTCATATTTATTTACTCATGTTGTTTGTTCTCTTTGACCATTGAGTGAATAAATATTATTATTATTATAACAGTTAACGGCCCGAAAAGCCCCAAGGATATACATTTTAATGGCCTCGTAACTATCTCCCATACGCTTGGGCAGCCAGTCGTCATGCTTCGAGAAACATCGATCGCCATCTAGCAAGCTTCGACGAATTAGTTACAAGTATTGTAATAAATTAGTGTGAGAGTAATAAATTAGACTGAATAGTAAAAACGGTATTTTCCTTACAACTTTTCAGCATAACGGGCCTGTATATTAGGTTTTATATGTTCATATCATAACCTTGAATTGGCATGTAGACTCAAATTCTGTGCATTTGCCGTTTCCCTTTGAAACAGGACTATTGTTGTATGACATCAGTTAGTGGAATTAAATCATTACAAAATACTGATAGAACTAAATAGGGTACATAACATTATTTTAGACGTTCATTTATTTCTCTTTTTTCTGCGGAATATTAATTAATTTAAATTATAACTCAGAGTGTTTACTTGATAAAATGCAAGGAAATTAAAAGAAAACTGAATCCGATCTTGGAATTTTGAGTTCCCGAAGCATCTTCACTTCAATTTTCAGCAATGTAAAATGTTGATGGAACCAAGTTGATAACGCTTGAAATTTTGAGTTTTGTGTCACATGACAAATAAGATTTTTGAATAAGTGAATATTTTTATTTACAAATCAAAAGAGGCATAATCAATTTATTTACTTAATTAGCACCATTCTTTAGGCGTTTTTTGTGGATAGTAAAACGTTTCAATATTCAACATAAATGGTGTTGATTTTGTTAAGGGACAAGAAAGTGCCAAAAATCGAGTCCGGAACTGGATTGCCTAACCATCTGCCTAGTTTTACGTCACTCCTAGGTAACGTTGTTATTGAGCAGGATTTAAACAAATTCGGCTTGAATGTGCCAGAATATCTGTATATACAGGGTGACTTCGAAGTTGAGTCATTTATTTTAACAGTGAGTAGATCTGATCAAAAGAAATGTTTTTTTCCTTTACCATTTTTCTGGTAAAATTAAAGTAACAAAGTTATAGCCGTTTGGAAGTTTGAGTACCGCGCTGTCTCAATAATAATATTATGTGCTCGTGTTTGGCAACAACGGATATAATCCGCCTTATCGGTTCATCGCATCGGAAACAAAAAAGCGAAAGAATTTGGAACGATCTTTTTACAATTATTTTATTCAGTTGTATACAGTCAGTGTCAGTCGGTAACGCGTGAATGAATAGTGGTGTCTGTTGCGTGGCTCAAACGAAATCAAAAATGGCACTTGTTTACGAAAATGCTGAACTTGTGGACATGATTCTTATTTACGCGGCATCACGGATTTATGCGGATCGGTTTCCCAATCGAGTGCAACCAACCCCCTCGTGCCTTTGTTAATGTACAAGTACAAAGGGCTCGTGAATCAGGTGACTTAAGACCTCACAGGGGAGGGCATGCCGGTGCTCCAAGACCGCACGATCAAATACAGGTCCGCACTGAAATACTTGTCGGGAGGATACTTTATAAAACAAGGTAACATTTTTTTTTATTTTTACACACATATTTTGGTTTATCTTCCTTCTACAATCATTATCTGAAAATTAATGACTCAACTTCAAAGTCACCCTGTATATGGTATTAAAGATTTGGCGTGTTTAGATAAATCACCCTGTATAACCGTGGAAACTGAATTTAGAAGTTATTTATTTTCAGATATGAAAAGCTCGCGGTCGATAGTACCTACCAATCCACTATGTTCATTTAAGTACGGAACACCTTAGGGATAGTCCGTTCCTAATGTTCTAAATGCATTAACTGTTTTCCATGGACACTATCAAGTAAGGTTTTAACTGGTTTCTAAGCTGTCAAAAGTTCGCAGAATTCTCTCGGACATTTTTTATAGGAAATTAAAGCTTTATTTTTTGTGTTCCTTATGTGCACGAGATTGACATGTTATTCTAGGACACCAGGTTTAAATCAAAATCCGTCTTGATTTTCAGGTATTCTCAACAGAGCACATCCAATTCGACAATTAGCTTAAGAGTTGGAAATGAGGTGAACAGAAGCTGTGAGAATGAAGGAAACGCTTCAACAACCCTATCTGCTAATACAGAAACACAAGAAAATGGAACTAATAGTAAAGACTCGGAACAAATGGTAGTTATATTATTTTGTAACGTTCATGTATTTGAGTAACTGTTGTCTTTTTCATTAGCATACTAGCGACGTCGAGCTTGATTTCGACGAGGAAGATGAAGATGATATGTTATCAGGAGAGGATGGAAATAAACTAGAAGAGAAAATTGATGTTTACGAAGCTGAAATGAAAATGAAGTATACTGGTCACAGAAATGCAAGGTAACTTTAATATCACTTTACAGATGCATTACGATAAATATCTGTGTTATGTACACTATCGTTTTGATTCGAAATTCTTATAGGTTTGCGGAAAATCAGCTATAGCAGGAAATTTGCTGAAAGATACGCTTCCATTTTGTTGTGCCGATAAAATATTCAAAGAAAATCAATATTATCAAGGAGAGTTTTTAGTGCTGTTGTTTTGATGATACGGTATGATCTTCCTCATTTCGATTTTGCACAGTAGCGAAATATTCCTTCGTTATCCGTTATCGAAATAAAGCTTCGTTAGTTACGGAGAATAGGGGAGGGATCATTTCGAAAGGTGATATTTTCCTTATACAGCGCTGTTGCCGGAATTTGTAAAGCTGTATAAGCTTAATAAGATAATTTCAAGTTATAAAAATATATTGGTTAATACAGCGTCCTTCAGTGGAATGTGACGTTTTTCGGTACACTGTATTTATTAGCAATTTTGTTGTAAAAATAAATAAAAATTTGAAAAATAATACTCATTAAATGCAGTTTTTAACAGTTTATTATTTTTTTAAAATTACAGATTTTAAATGTCCACGATTAAACTCTATACATTTTTCAATATTTTCTCGGAGGTGGTTCATAACTGCGCCTCGAAGCCTGCCATCAATTCTTCTTATCTCCTCAGTTATGTTGTTCTTTAGCTCATCCAGTGGGCGGGGCTTGTTTACATACACTTTAGACTTTAAGTACGCCCATAATAAACAATCTGGAGCCGTTAAGTCAGGAGAACGTGCTGGCCAGGCAAGGTCTCCATTTCGGGAAATTAATTTGCCAGGAAACTTATTCCTTAAAAACTGCATAACTATTCTAGCGGTATGACTAGTTGCCCCATCCTGTTGAAACCATATTTCGTGATCTTCAACTCTCAATCTACGTAATTCGGCAGTAAGAAATGTTTGTAGCATTTGCAAATATCGCTCCGAGGTAACGGTTACAGTTCGATTATTCTCTTCAAAAAAATACGGTCCAATAATCCCGAAGGTTGCAATACCGCACCAAACCGTAATTTTTTCAGCATGTAAAGGTTTTTCATGCAACTGCATTGGTTGTTCTGCACACCAATATCGAAAGTTTTGTTTATTAACAAAACCCGATAAATGAAAATGGGCTTCATCAGACATAATTAAATTATCCATCAGATCTGGTCTTTCGCGCAACAATCTTACAAATTCCCTGCAAAATGCAAGTCTGTTAGGTGGATCTTGTGGGGATAATTGATGCACAATCTGTATTTTATAAGGATGAAACTTAAGATCGTCATGCAAAATACGGCGCACTGTACGATCTGATAGGTTTAGAGCCCTTGTATGTTTATTCGCTGAACGTGTTGGACTGCTTCCTCAACTCATCGAATATTTTCAGGCGTTCGCACAGTACGGGAAGAACCAGCAAACCTATCACAGACAGTTCCATGTGCATTCCACTTCTTAAACCATTGCAAAATAATGTTCCGCGATGGAATGCGACCACGTCTTGGAATATTAAACTCAGCCCGAAATCGTCTTTGGACCGTAATAACAGACTTTGTTTTAATGTAAGCCATCACGGAGAACACGCGTTGATTAACCGGCCAATTCTCCATAGCTACTAAACTGCATACAATAACAAACACATCAGTCATAAACAGAACTCCCCCACCCATTCATGTGTCAGGCAGTGGCGCGTTAAAAAGTGTCACATTCCAGTGCCGTACCCTGTATAATAGGAATATGGGATTTAGATCACTAAATAAATTGAATTGTCCTGATTTTTGTCATTACGCAATGTGGCAAGGAAGCCTTTTATTGTAGTTCTGCTAGTTTTGTGGCCACTCGTCCTTCTGGGGCTCTATGATTTCAAACCTATTCAGTTCTTGTAAGGTTGGAACACGAATATTACCGAAACTTTTTCTATGAAAAAAAAAATAAAGAAGGTTTTGAAATGTTTGAGGTCTCGTCAAAATCGAAAAAACTAAGCATAGTCCGACCAACATCTTCCCATCTGAGGGGGAAAATATTCTGATTCGGATGCTTTGCATAATCTCTTTCAAAAAGGCCTCCTTTTGACGAATCTGCAAGTTGCCAGGCCCAAATTTGCGTCAAAAATGTTTCAAATTTCAAAAATCTATTTTTTTGCCTCGAACAAGGTGTTTTTAGTTTTTTTTGCGACATTCTAAACAAAAAAGGCACTTTATGGTTCTCCGCACAGCTGGCGACCGCCGCTTGTTGCATCTCTCTAGTGCTTGCACAGAGCGTACACTGACCGCGCGCTTGGTTAACAATTAAAAATCAAAGGTTTACAATAATAATGCCTCCTTAGATGCGATGCTTGAGCATTTTGTTAATGGATGTTTGAAGAATTATTAGGATCATTGGCAATATTAAAATTTTTGTTTTTTGATATTGTTTTTTAGGATCGAAAATGGCATATTACGAATTTTTTAAAATATTGTATCTCGAAAACTATAAAATTTATAGAAAAATTCGAATTCACTTTTTTTGTTCAGAAGGTCCCAAAAACCTAAACATGCTTTGACCAGTGTGGAAAATATTTTGGAATTTGGAAAAAAGTTTTTTGCGCAAATTTGAGCCTGGCAATATGCAGATTGGTTAAAAGCGACACTTTTTTGACTATATGCGAAGATATTGCCCGGACTAGCAACATGTCATGTCTGTCAGTAGTCAGTATTGTCATATCGGTCGGTTCACATTAGTTCTAAAAACTCTTTTTTAGTCGACATTTGTTATTTGCTGAGGCTATCAAAAATAACGTAACAGAAGGCTTGACAATTCGTTGTTTTTGTTGCACCCTAATAAAAAAATACACGGCCACTGGCAACTGTGCGTCTCGCTACTGAGACCTGCACGGAGTTCGGCCGGCGATTGACGCGCGCGCGACCAGTAAGCAACCAGGCGAAGTTTGACGTGCCTCTTCATGTCAGTTGTCCTCAGGAGGCGTCTACCTCTATACCAAAACTGCCAGATCACGATGTCGATCTGGCAGCATTGTAGATTTTAATATAATAATCTTTGTCGTTCGTGCTTCAGAACAATGATCAAAGAAGCGACCTTCTGGGGCAACGACTACGTGATGTCCGGCTCTGATTGCGGCCACGTGTTCATCTGGGAAAAAAAGCACCGCAAAGCTGAAGATGTTGTTGCGCGCCGATCAACACGTGGTAAACTGCCTGCAACCGCATCCAGTTTTGCCGCTTCTAGCCACCAGCGGTATCGATCATGACGTCAAGTTGTGGGCACCTAAGCTGGGGGAGTGCGGCTTTGATCAGACTGCCGCTGACGATGTGAGTTTGCAATCTATACAGGGTGACCCATCCATGTGAGGACGAAACTTTACTCATAAACAAATACATTTTGGGAAAATCTGTTTATGGGATGTTATACATGACGTTTCTAAAATATTGGCAATTACACAGGGTGTCCCAATTTCGACCTACATATCAAAGTTGTGATTTTTCAAATGGAATGCCTCAAATTTTATTGCTAATAATATATAAGCTAATAAGAATTAAACACAGCAATAAACATTACATTTGATTTGATACAACTTACGTGGTTATTTATGAGGACATAACATTGGGAACAAAAAATAGTGCTGAATAAATGCTGTAACGTCCAACCCAAAGGAGGTGTTGAAAATGTAGTAGTAGAAAGATTTATTTAGCACATTTGACTACATAAACAGAATAATTGTAAACAACTTAGAACTAGTAAATTCAAGCCATATGGTGTATGATGTAAATGCTGGGCAACCTATAATTGTAGATTTAACAAGTGATTTCTCAATTTTACTTTAAATTTTGTCAAAGTTTTCTGGTCTTTTATCTCTGAGAATAATTTATTATATTCAATCAACCCTTGATGGAATACAGATTTGTAGCATATGTTATACTTTTTGGTCATTAAATAGAAATCATCTTTATTTATGGTATTATGTGAATGATGGTCGACATTTGACGATGTTAAATTAGTTAGACTTGATGGAAATATATTATTTTTTACTTTATAAATGAATAGCATTACAAGATAATTGATAAAATGTTTTACATTGACCCATTTTAATTTGCTAAGCATTTGCCTAATTGGAGTATATTTATCTTTATTTAGTATTATTCTCATGCAATTATTTTGTAAAATTTGCAGTCTTTCAAAAATGGAATTATTTGCTAAATATAGAATAGTCGATCAGTTCAAGAAATTTGGAAGAATGATGTATTATAGATAATTTTTCTGCTATATGAACTCAGACATCCAGAAACTCTCGATAAATATCCCACTTTACTACTAATCTTATTTATAACTTTTTCATAATGAATATCAAAAATTAATTGAGAGTCAACAAAAACCTCCAGGTATTTAAAATTTTCTACTAATTCAATATCTTACATCAATATTCAGTTGAACATTTGTACATTGTTTTTTTCCGATTAACAAGGCTTTCGATTTACTTGTATGTATTAATTTTAGTCTGTTAGATGCTAACCATTTTGAGACAAGTTTCAAGTCTTCATTTATATAAGAGATACCAGTCTGAATATTTTATTAATACTTATATAAATCATAGTGTCATCGGCGAAAATCTGAATTTTGCATTTTTTCACTATGGCACGTAAATCATTTATGTATAAAATAAAAAGAAGTGGTACTGCCCTGTGGAACACCCAACGTATTTTCAATTTTTGATGAAATAGTGCCATTAACTTTTGTAACTTGCATCCTTTTAGACAAATAATTTCTAAACCAATCTAAAACACTTCCTGTTATACCATATGCCTTCAATTTACCTAACAAAATATCTCTATCAATCGTTTCAAATGCCCTCTTCAAATCCAAAAATACTGCTATGACAACTTCTCCAATTCTCAGTTACCAACTGGAAAGCCGTTTCTGTGGCTTGCGTGCTTGCGCCTCCACTAAAATTTTGTTTTCTTCTATAAACTGCATTAATTGGTTATGCACTATAGACTCTAATAATTTTTCAATGTCTGGTAACAGATTTACTGGTCTCATATCGCTGCATCTTTTAGAATTTTTTATTTTGGGAACTGGTGTTATTGTAGAGCATTTCAAATTTTCAGGAAAAGAACTGCTTCTCAGTGAACAATTGATCCAATTTAATACAGGATATCCCAAAATTTCAACACGTTTTTAGTAGTGATTTCGGCACAGTTGTTATTTGATTTTAAACTGTTTACTTTTTTTCTTAGATAATTCAATGATACGCTATGAAATTTTGAAAGTGTATGCAACATTTCCTCCTGGAAACTGATTTTCATATAGTCAGGTGCAGCATTGGCAGTACCCACAATATCAACAATACTTTCCACAAAATATTCATTTAGTTTGTTTGCAAGCACCAAAGAATTTGTTTCGGTACCGTTTTCGAATTGAACTTGATTTACACAATCATGCGGCTTCGAATTGATCAGTCTTTTTAAAGTCTTCCATATATTTGCACTGTCGCACTTGTTATTATCGATTTGTTTATCGTAGAATTTCTTTTTTTCATCTCTAATTACATACACACATTTAAATAAAAAATACCTCTGGATTCAACACAAGACCGTGCTCTACGCCACAAAGACTCTCTGACTCTTTGGAAAATACCTAGCGCAGTACGAACAGTGTTGAAAGTCTTCTGTATACTTCGTCCTCATACTTCGTGTCCGAGGTTTTGAGAAGTAAAGGCCGATAAGTGGCGTGCATAGACAAAGTTTAATGAATGGTAAGCTACGACGCTACTGATTGAGGATAGTAGGTCACGCGTATTATTCAATGAATGTTTTAATGAGGTGCCATAGCTTCCTTCACATGCCATACAGTGTTTCCAACATCGAGTTTTACTGTGTTTCCAGAATAGACGATGCTAAACTTTTTCTAAAAATATTTTGGGATTTCACCTCAAATATTCAAAACGAGTAATCTGACAAAAAATCCTTAAGAAACAAAATTTATGAAAAATTGAATGATATTTTATAAGACGCTCTTCTTTTCACCAAAAAGGCTAGTGGTGTGGAAAATATTTCTTATTAGGGGTCTAGGTACCCCAGTTTCTACGTCCCTGATTTAGTTTGGGCCAGGAAACTCTGTGTGTTTATTGCTGATGACTGAATGTCTAAAATACTAACTCGGTATCTTTAACCGCTTTGTGAATAAAAGAATACCACATATTTTGAATGATTTATCTGGTTAGATTTTATTTGTTACTTATGCAATTTTCCCTCAGTAAAGGAATTTTGAGAATTAACCTAGTCTAGAATGCGGGATATAGTATTTTTACTAGTAAGGACATACTGAATGACTTTTTCGCGAAAGCAATGCAACAGAAGTCGAAATCGGGTTGAAGTCGAGTTGCCATCAGGTTAAGTTGCTTCTGATCAGAACAGTGCTTAGAGGATGCTTCTGGAAACAGGCTTTTCTTAATAAATTTTGAACGACACTACAATCCAACGAAATTTGGACATCTTAGTAACTAACAATACACATTCAGATTGTCAGGGATGAACTAGCCCCAACGCCATATTGCTGTTCAAAGATATAAAAAGTACACTCCGTATTATTTTAAATTGTAATGTTTGATAATTGAATACTGTCAATTCTTTTTTGCTGCCCTACATTCTCGCAAATTACCAAAGGCTGAAATCTATTTCTTACTTCAAGGGTCACCTTTTAGTCTTGTTCTGAGTCTAAAAAGAACTATTCCAGAACTGTTCTGGTTTTGCTAGACGTTTTTCAGGAATCCCGTGAACTGAAAGAGTGAAGATGCAGGTAGCCGTAGTTTCATAGTCATCGAGTTTAGGAACAGTTGAAACTTCTTTCAAAATGTGTTAAGGGTAGTAACATAAGGTATATGATTAGTGGTTCTGAGACCAAAACCATTATGTTCTTAGAATTATGTTAGTCTGTCAGTTAGTACCAATTTATGTATTGTCAAATATTCAGTGTTGTAGAAAACCAGTTTTCTTTATAGTGATATGGTTAATTATTTGTGGTACTCATATTTAATTATTCATCATATATTATTATAATTCGGGTTGCTAGGCAACGACGTGTTTCTGTCTTTCTAACGTACGTATTGCACGCTTCTCGCTCTCCTCTCTCGTACACTTTACGTCAGCGGTATCCCAACTAACAATTATCACTTCTATTAGAGTTGCAAGAATGATTATACAGTATTCCGTACACAGCATTGTATACTGTAAGAACATTGGCAACCCAACTAGCAAAGTAGTGTTATAAGCTTTTGGTAAAAGAACCGATCAGTCATAAAAGCTCTCTATTGTTGTTGCCTGAACACCAAAATGCTGGCTTAATGTTGTGTGGAATGCAAATTTGCTTTCTGCAACATATTTGCTGTAAAATGAGGTGTTTAAAATATTCTTATAGCATAGTTATACAAAACCTTATAGGACCAATTTTTAGCTGTTGCATAAACGCTTATACAACTATTTCATACGGCATATTTGTACGTTAGTCAAAATGATTGTGTTGTGGCATCCATGGTAACGTTTATAAAACAAACCGGAGCCTTGTTGTTTTGCTGTGCAATTTACTACTTTAGCCAACAAATTGCTCCCAACGGAAGCACTTATACAACTGTTGTTTAGTAACGGTTAAAGGCTGGGTAAATCATTCGACTCTGTCGGTATTTTATTTCAGAAATTTGTCAAATTGTTGTATAACACCTGCAGGCAACACCAAAATATTCTATGAAACTAAAGACAACATGGACGATGCCATGATTATACACAACCACCCGCCATATTGGGCAAACATGTATTCCTCTAGTTAATATTAAATAATTATGTGTCAGTTCGAAATTACAGATATAAAGTGATAAACATTAGTGTAATTGTGTCTAAATATAGGATTTGTGGAAGATTTAACGCAGATAAGTTCAGTTTTCCATCTTAAAAATCTAGACATACTTTTCATCATTATCAAAATATGAATCAAATACGAAGCCCGTAGAAATTGCGTAACTACTTTGCACGATAATCACAATAAAATTTGCTGCGCAAGTAATTTAATAGCCCTATATCACAGTGTAGAGGTTTATCATATACCTGTGTATGAAATTCACAATGGCCGATATGTAATAAGTAAACCAGATGACTGTAATGTGTTAGTTATATATTCTTCACTTCGTCTATACAATACATAAGAAATAGTTTGGTTGCAATAAAGTAGAATCACGTAACAGTTGTATAGTTGACAAAAACTGAATCTTGCACTGACGCAAATGTAATATAGCGGCTGCAAGAGACTTACACTTTTGTTGTATAACTGTTACCGCATCCCTTATACAACCTCTTAAATGACTGAAGTGTCCTATTAGGTGTGCCCATTCCGCTTGTTTAGCTGTTCTAAGAGGGTTTTGCCAATGTTCTTGCAGTATACAATGCTGTGTAAGGAATACTATATAATCATTCTTGCAACTCTAATAGGAGTGATAATTGTTAATTGGGAAAACCCTCTTAGAGCAGCTATACAAGCGGAATGGGCACACCTAATAGGACACTTCAGTCATTTAAGAGGTTGTATAAGGGCTGCAGGTAACAGTTATACAACAAAAGTGTAAGCCTCTTGCAGCCGCTATAGGACATTTGCATCAGTACAGGATTCAGTTTTTGTCAACTATACAACTATTCTGTTACGTGATTCTACTTTATTGCAACCAAACTATTTCTTATGTATTGCATAGACGATGTGAATAATATATAACTAACACAATACAGTCATCTTGTTTACTTACATATCGGTCATTGTGAATTTCATACACAGGTATATGATAAACTTCTACACTGTGATATAGGGCTATTGAATTACTTGCGCAGCAAATTTTATTGTGATTATCGTGCCAAGTAGTTACGCAATTTCTACGGGCTTCGTATTTGATTCATATTTTGATAATGATCAAAAGTATGTCTAGATTTTTATGATGGAAAACTGAACTTATCTGCGTTAAATCTTCCATAAATCCTATATTTAGACACAATTACACTAATGTTTATCACTTTATATCTGTAATTTCGAACTAAAACATAATTATTTAATATCAAATAGAGGAATAAATGTTTGCCCAATATGGCGGGTGGTTGTGTATAATCATGGCATCGTCCATGTTGTCTTTAGTTTATTAGAATATTTTGGTGTTGCCTGTAGGTGTTATACAACAATTTGACAAATGACAGAAATAAATTACCGACAGAGTCGAATGATTTACCTAGAATTTGTACCAGATCTATATCTTCTGGTTGAACAGTTGATAAAACCTTTTTAACCAATATGCATGCGTTGTTTGTCTTAAAACATTGGTTATGGCGTTTTAACAAAAATATAACAGCAGAAAGTTAGGTTATGGTGAAGTTGTATACCAACATATTTAGCATATGTACAGCCTTTAACAGTTACTAAACAACAGTTGTATAAGTGCTTCCGTTGGGAGCAATTTGTTGGCTAAAGTAGTAAATTTGCACAGCATAACAACAAGGCCCTAACCTGCAAATATACCATATGATATAGTTGTATAAACGTTTATGCAATTTGTCCTATAAGGTGTTGTGTAACTATGCTATAAGAATATTTTAAACACCTCATTTTAGACCAAATATGTTGCAGAAATCAAATTTGCATTCCACACAACATTAAGCCAGCATTTTGGTGTTCAGGCAACAACAATAGAGAGTTTTTATGGCTGAACGGTTCTTTTACCAAAAGCTTATAGCACTACTTTGCTAGTTGGGATCTGGTTTTCATTACATAATTATACTAGCAAATCGGGTTTCAGATGTAGCTCTGTGAATGTGTAATTCCTAATTTAGTTGTGTAAACAGTGGCAATGAAAATATCACTGATTTCACCACCAGAACGCTACGAGCGTACAATTTAGGAGCTTTCAGTTAATTATGCGAATTCTAAATCTTTCCGTTTCTTTCTCTTATAAACTTCCACTGACTTGGCATTTCTTACCAGTATATTAAATATTCAGTTTTATAAAGTTTTAATCTGAATGTAACACAACTTAGTTAGATTCAAAAACTTTGATTCAATATTACACATCAACAGTAATTTATATTTATCAAGGAATGGATCTGGCAAAAACTTTCATTATTTATGATTGAGCCAACCTTCGGCTTGTTATGTTGCTATGTTATGTTAAAAGCCGAACATCGGCTTCGGCCAAAATACTGATCTTAGGCCCGTATCGTCAGTCGTCCCTACAATTGTAGGGCGCGTTTATGGCCTCCTTGATTGTCAAACTCCTTTCTCTCCTTCAAAAATTTCTAGATTACACTTGTCCCGTGTCAGCGTCAGCGCTCTCCTATTGTGAAGATATGTTTTCTCTTTAAATTGTAGGAAATTTCAGGCTGATAAAACATTATATAACTCAAAAGCAAGCACAATTTGATGCAAATAGATGTTTGTGACATAACCTCATAATAGAGCGCTGATACGGAGAAGTAGAAAACTATGACAATCAAGGACGCCATAAAGGCGCCCTACAATAATTGTAGGGATGACTGACGATACGGGCCTTAGGATGGACCCTACCATTAACCAGTTACTTTTTTGCAGCTGATTGGCCGTAATGCAATCATGCTAGAAGAAACTAGAGACACGATCACTGTACCTGCAGCATTCATGATCAGAATGCTAGCTTGTCTCAACCAGATCAGAAGAGGCGTACGTATTATGAATAACAGGAGAAATACTGAGGAAGAGAGTTAATGTTTTATAGAATTTGTTGTATTCACGTTGCAGTAATCATTGCAAAGAAATAAAAACAAACGCCAGTATAGGATTTTTACAGTTGATTACTTGACTGGATCAGAGCTCTTGCCACTCTAGATGCTAAGAATTTCGTAAAGATTAGAATGCGTCTATTCAGAATTACTTTTACTTCCCAGGCCTACTGGCGGGGAAAAATTGTAATCGCGAATTTTTTCGAAAATGAGATATTATGTTTCTTGGATGTTATATGACATGTACATGACGAAAAAACATGTCACTCGTTTTCGTCGGTCTGTCCGCTAATCTGATAACCGCCTATAACTTGAAGAGTACCGCTCAGACTTCGATGAAATTTTGCCGCGACACAACCATCATACGCTGAGCACTGTCTGCGTCTGATTGACTCTGACTACATTGCCGGTTCTCTCGAGTAACTATACTAGTATGGTTGAGCAACATTGCTAGATGGTCGATAGAGCGGGGAAGAAACTAGCGTTAGCGGTATCATATGGGTGGGGACTATGGGGTTTGGACTAATTCCATGAGTCTGTTTGGCTATCTTAATCCATTTAATTTGCTTGATATACATGTTTGTAGCTAGTGAACTGATGACAACGTTGCGTGGGAAGTACATAGTCAACCTACTTGATGCCATTTTCATGACACACCTGTCTGTTTCCCAAATCGAAAAATAACTCTGCCTTCTGAACATAATAGTCAATAGTTCATGATTTTTTTTGTATTATCTATCGAGTACTTACCGTCAGTATAATACTGTGCACACATATTTAATTCATGAAAATGTCTGTATTGGTTTTTAATTGAATATTTAAAACTGCAATGCCAATGACGTTGATCTGTGTAACGTATACGAAAAACATTCCCATTGAATAACTGAATTCTTACGAATTGATCAAACTGGCAGGCCGACAAACAATGGCAGTGAGAACAAAGATTTGAAATCGGTCGATATTTTATTATTTTCCATTTTTATTAATTAACTCTCGTTATTTTATAGCGCTTAAGTATAGAATAATGTTGAAGATTTATGTGAATAAAAATAATTTACCGATATTTGAATCGCATCCATATTCCATATTCTGGCTTGCTTGAGTGGCAAACATTAAAAATGTTTAGTGGTCACAGTATCTTAGAAATGTACTGTCAAGATTCTGTAATGGTACTTTTTCACTCACGGGTTGACTGTATTATTATATTGGCGTAGATTTGTGTTTGTGAGATGAGGATGTAGTGAGTGATCACATTTTTTGGGTGAAGTTGAAAAAAACGTGATGTTGCAAACCGTTGTGAGCGAGGTGCATTAAGGTGTGTAAAGGAAGTGTAGCCGTCCAAATTTTTAAAATATTCTTCATATGTTTAGAAGAAAACAGTCACAAAAAGTTACTTAAATGATATAAGTGCTGATATAATTCATTTTTGGCGTAAACCAATAAGTACAATCTAAGATTTAAAACGGATGAAGTGAGGCTAGTGCCAATGCTAATGTGATACGAAATAAGGGGCAAGTTTTTCTAAAAACATTTGCTCCCTATTGTTTATTTCATATGATCATCGTTTTTCTTGTATATTATTTTGTACATCTTGCTATCTAAAAACGTCTTCAGTTAAAATATTTTGTGATAAAAGTTTACGTATGCTTTTTTACCAGTTTAGGATCTTCACTGATCACCTTATTGCACTGCACCTGCCTTGAATAGGAAAGAGGTATTTTTCTTACATTGTGATGAATGATTGTATAACGTTCCAAAAAATCTGAGAAATACTCTAATGCTTTCTAGATTCTGTTTTAAATACGGCTAATAAGCACAGGAAATATTACTGTAAACCTGACTGGCTTTTTTAGTAACCTAGCTAGGCACAAACTGCTTCATACTAAAATTGCGAGTGTAATCATCGAACTGATTTTAACTCTGGATACATTTTTGTCACATTATGCTGTTTCATATCCCATAGAATGCAAATATCATAGTTAGATGCAACGTTGCCTGAATTGAGATATCCTACTAGGCTTAGGGTTATATGTATTTCTATTTATCTCTTATTTTTTAGTACAAAAAATGTGATATTTTCAGTATATATGAAACTGTCTTGATCATTTCTCAGCAAATACATAATCAGCTAAAAATTTATCAAATGAACTATTTAAGAAATATTACCAATTGAAGGAGGAGTGGCCTATAATCTCACATGCGACACTGAAACTTCATTTATGTGGTTATTGTTATCGTTTGCCACTGTGCTGTCACTTTTGTTATGTTATTCGATTTTAAGAAAAAAGCTAGTTAATAATGATGCTTCATTCATTGTCGCATGGTCTTAGCGTCGGGAGATTTTGTCGAATGAAAAATGTCGATTGCGTCAGGAAGACGCTTTATGAGTTTCGTCTGACATTTCAGCTATCTCGCATGTGACATTGGACATTCGACATTCTAGAGCACTCTACCAGGCTGTCCAACCAAATCTGAGAGAAAAGGATGCCCTACTGAATTGCGTTAACAAAAACAATTTAACAAAAAATATGTGACTACGTCATAAACTTGACAGACTTGGTAGCTTCTAGTTGTGATTTTTGCAGATTGTATCTTTACTTACAGTATTATGTTTCAAAATTGTGATGATAAAATAAAATTTTCATGTTTTCCTTGGATCAAAGGATTTTTTGGAATTCATATTCACGGCTAATGATGCTATACTTTGGAATATCTATGTTATCAATTTTATACTTAAATCGCAGAGCTTGATTATGTAGTCTTCTGAAATCCTGAATTGACATCCTTTGGAAACGAACAAGTAAAGACTTCAGCCATCGGGTACTAGTTAAAAAGTCCATTGAGCTTGAGTCGAAATGAAGTATATTTGAGACAAATACATTTTTTAGATTTCAAATACTTTGTTGTATACGTCACGGAATCACACGTTGCATCAATCTATAATAAAAGCTTGTTGCGATTTTTTTAGTATCATTTGAATAAAACATTAACAGGCTTAATATAGTGATTTTAAAGTGCTATATTATATGAAAAACATCTCTGGGATCGTCTAGCTTTTGCGATTCTTGAGACTTGGCAAAAATTAATGAAGTATTTCACGCACGACTTAAAAACTGCAGTTTTTAGAAAAAGGTGCGAAATTTCACTTGCGAACTTCGATAATAATGAAGGTAACTTCAACTTTTCATTGCTGCTCACGCGAATGTTCACTAAGTTCCCAGGTATAGGCAATAAAATCCCTGTATTTAGTTCTATTAATTTTTTGCGCTCATTCTGCTAATATATCACACGATGCGTGCGGTGACTTTTCTAGCATTATTTAAACAAAATGTAATTTTGGGAGACTGTTTGGACCGTTGTGATTTTCAGAGGCGAAGACGACAACAGTCAGAGCCATCTGCCGGAAATTGAGGACGGAACCAAAATGTGAAGAATGAATTGCCTCTCTTCATAGACGACAAGCTTTTTATTGATTTGTTCGCTAATTTTATGTTCCCTTTTAGAGTACTTTTAAGTTCATTTTTATTTGCCCACAAACAAATTATTATTCTAGTTCAACTTACCTTCTTAATTTGATTTTATTTACGTCTACAATAATTTTTTTTATCTATCTTCATTGTACAAAGCCTTCAATGTTTCTTGAATTCACTCATTATTCACTAATCAAGAGAACAAAACATCCAGTAAAAATGATTTTATTTAGATGAAAGTTTACAGTTAGATATCAGCAAAAGGAGGTTTCGAAACAAAAATTTAAAATGAAAATATTTGCTGTATTTTAATTTGTATTGGAATACGGCTATTTGGATTCATTTAAATATGCTTACTTTAAACTTGATTTTCATTTATGTATTTGAGTTATAAATATACGATGAGGTTCAAATTTGGTTAACGTTATAATCTGTCTGAGAGAGAAGCGCGAGAAGCGAGCACTATTTATGTTAGAAAGAGTGCGCCGATGACAACGCGGCAAACGGTAGCTGCGTAACTCTCCTCGTCACTCGGGTTGATAGGCAACAAGGTGCTTCCATCTCTATCTAACACACGTATTCCACACCTTTCTCACTCTCTCTCTCTATCTCTCGTACACATTACGACGTCAGTGGTATATGGATTTCACAGTATATACGTTATGTTACCGGTAATCTGCATCATTAAGGTATTCTATACAATACATAGGCAATCAATAGACTACCTGGGTTGCCCATGTATGAAATATTGTGAATATTATTATCCATAATGAATACAATTCCTAAGAATTGTATAGAGTACCTGTTGTTCCACCCGGAATGTGTAAAATAAATAGATCTTGGTCTAAATTTATCATTGTTAACCGGCATACCTACAAAATGACGGGCAAATAAAACAAGTTATATTATTTGAAATCAACTTTATTAAAATTAACAATTAGAGTGCTCCTTAAAAATAAGCTTTATGAAAAGGGCAAAAAAAACATTTCTGTTACTAAAGTAAAATCACAGTAAAATTAAAGTGAAAGTAAAAATTATTCGAGTAGTATTTGCATATCGGTCAAATGTATTCTGAATATGATTCAAAATACCGAGTATTCGAATAAAAGTTAGCCCTACTTGGTTCTAAAGAGCTGCTAGCGATTTTGAAGGAAGGCGGATATTTTCACTTCAAAATTTAATCACGTCCAAGTGTATATAAAATATAGTTCAAATAACATCATTTCACTGTAGGTCCTATTATCTTTGCCATAGAGTATATAAAACTGAATTAGCTGGAAAGGTGTACTGATTAATAATGTATTTCAAAGGTTCCTTGATAGATCTGGATATGCCAACTTATTGCGGTTAAAATAAGTATACAGTTCCTTTTGAATACATTTTGAATAACATACAACTTGATTTTATAAAAACCACAAAAATATCTTTGAAGTTGCGTTTCGATTTGAAACTGGCCAATTTTAAAACCACGTAGGCACTATAATTATATTCTCACAAATAACTGATTTTACCTCCTGAGAATTTTAAGGTATTTAAGACTGGATACATCGGAGATATTTGAATCAAACCTTTAAGTCTATTAATCCGATTTTTTCACAGAATGTTCCTTCGCCGTACGCAACTTCATAGAAACTATTTGAGATTGACCCAAATCAGGAGCAACTGTGAGAACTAATTTGTTGTAAGGATTTATTCTTTGAATAAACACACAATGTTCAATTATAGAATATTTCGGAAACTTCGATAAAGTTACGTTTGTTTTGCATATGAGCAGTTACACAAAACAAAGTCTAGTTCGTATTACAGTCTATGATGCCATTTTGTTGCAACAAATTCGACCAAGTACGTTTTTTGAGCATAGATTTCTAGTAATATTGAATTAATCTGCATATCTCATAAAGAGATTTTCTCTTCGATCTGTAACTGGTCAAAATTCTTCAGGAATATTCGACTGAGTCACTCAATTATAACAAAGAATTTTCCGCTACCATTTTAAAAGCGTTTTTTCGATTATTGGTATCTACAGCTAACTTCATATTATTATTATTGGAGTATTTAAAACACTACCGCCTGAAGATGAATTTCATTATAGTCATGCAGTTACTTTTCTTATAAGTTATTTATCATTATACATGCCATTATATAGATGTTTTGTAAGCTAAAATGGCAGATCTTTGAACGGAATGTTTATTATTAATATAGTTGATTCACTATAGGTATTGCATTCGTTGTCAGTGCAATGTACACAGCAAATACAGAAGACAGACCATCCATGACAATTGATTCAAAAGCAATCGAATCAGGTAGTATCGACAACTCAGCGATTCTAAAGGACGATTTACTCTGGCTAATAATTGGATTTTTAATAAGATTTACAGTACTTTTCAAAAAGCCCATCCTACTTATTTTTTGAACGAGTCATGTTAGAAAGCCGAAACTCGGGAATATGAAATTGATGCATGAATATCTTATTTTAACGTAAAAATAATAGTTTAGAGTTTTAAGGTGGTATATTGTGTCATTTTTTTATTACTTGTTTGGATATTTATCCTTCCAAGAGTTTTGATGATTTGGGTAAGTGACTCAATGTGCAAAAACTCTTAACTTTGACAGCCTCGCAGATAGTGATTTAATGTTTTAGGGTTATAAAGTTCTCATAAAGAGATTCAAATTGAGGTACTCGCATTCCATTAAAAAAAGTTCCAAGATGGTGCCCAACCTCCATCTTGAAATTTTCAATTGCCACTTTCACGCAAAAATACTATTCATGTATCATTTTATCGCCTTTTAGCTTGATAACTTGATCCGTTCAAAAAATAAAAATAAGGCAGAGCTTTTGAAAAGCGCTGTATAAGTCAGGTACGTATATTTAATTTTTGAGAAGTGATGTATGTACAGTATCTTATGGCGCAGCCAAGAGTATTTTGCGTGACCCAACAGATCAAATTGTAAAATAGATAATTTTTGTATAGATAAATGTTTGAATTGCTATAAATTTATATGGGTAAAAATTGTGATTTATTTCATCGCGAATCTAGTGTTTAGTTGTATGATATTATGTGTAATTATTCTTCCTGTTTAGGTTAATTCGTTGAATAAAGCACTTAGATTTTTGTTTTTTTTTTAATTAACAATGCCTACTATTTGTAACTTCCAATGCAGATTCCAGAAATGTTGATTATAAACTCCGACAACAACAGAAAATATTTAGCTTTTACTTGGAGTAAATTGCCATGTAAGATGTAGTGTTTGTGAAATCGGACCTCTTGTGGTCGTCAAGTATACAAACACACTATATTTTTCTCAAGCAAGTCAATACACGCGCAAAAATCAACCTTGGGTTGATTTTACTCAAGACAAGTAATTGATGGATGGTTAAAGTGTGAGAAAACTAGTAAACATAAAGGGATGGAGATATACATGGTGCCCCAGAAATAACACTCAGAGTGACACACGTGGTAGATTGGCTTCAGATCAATCAGATACCAAGGTCGTGGTAAAAGTTTTCTAGTTTTCGAGATATTGCCATTTTTAAGTTTTTTCAAAAAATCCATACTTGTGCTCCTTTTTTTCCTGGGCTGCCATTAATTGTTGGTTGAGACAATCGAGTATTCACTTCGTTGAAAACTAGCACGGTATGCTAAAAAAATTATTAGATTTTGTTTGAAAACCTTCACTAAAGTTTGACTAATTACTGTGAAAAAAATGCACCGGACTGAAACGGCAAATGATCTAAAAAACTGGACTATTGAATGCTCTTTTAAAAATAATATAACATTTGTAGGTTATTTCTACTAAAAACTGAATAATTCCAATTTTTGCAATTGAAGTCGTATTACTAGCGAAATACTACAAATAAAAAATAAGTGCAGCCATCTTTTATATTCAAATCACTAAACGCGGGATTTCATTAGTCAATGGTATTGATCAATAATAATAAATCTATGCCATTGAACATAGAATGAATGGTAAATTTGATCACGCTGTGCAAATCGATAGAGCAATATGGTTGACGCGATGCTCACAGACTATTTCACTTCAATTGCATAGATTCATTATAATTGATTGACTAATGAGAACGCGGCTTCAGTAATGAAACGATCCAAACATGACATGACATTGACTATCTCGCTTTCACATTCATTGTTCGGTCAGTAGCATTATGTCACCTCGAGGAACAGAAGTGGTACCTGCGCAGCGCACGCGCAGGGTTAATTTAGTACTGCTCCTTTTGTTAGTGCTACACACGTGTTATTTAGCTCTTTCGCTGCTAGGTCGTTTCATTCCTTAGTGATTTGGATACAAAAGACGACTACACTTATTTTTTATTTGTAGTATTTCGCAAATATTACTTCAATGACAAAACTTGGAATTATTCAATTTTTAGTAGCAAGAACCTACAAATGTTATACTATTTTTAAAAGAACATTTAATAGGCTAGTTTTTAAGATAATTTGCCGATTCACTCTGGTACAGTTTTTTCACAGTAGTCAAACTTCAGTAAAGGTTTTCTCATTGAAACAAAATATATTAATTTTGTTCAGCATACCGCGCTAGTTTTCAATGAAATGCATACTGGGTTGTCTCAACAGACTATTAATGGTGGCCCAGATAAAAACTCGTAGGTTAGAAGTTCTTTATAGCTATAACAGACAAAAAGGAGCAAAAAGTAGTGATTTTCTGAAAAACATCTAAAAGTGGGAATATCTCGAAAACTAGAACACTTTTACTAAGGTCATGTTGATTTTATTTGTTTGTTTCAGATTTATTTAGCATTAATGCTACAATGTCCACAATATCCATATTACACAGTATATAACAAAATATATTATGTCTTATATATACAAAATTTCACTACTATGAATTCTGGTTTTCCATGAGATATTTTTTCAATTTCTGATTGATCTGAAGCCAATCTACCTCCCGTGTCACTCTGGCGTGTTATTTCTAAGACACCCTGTATAAACCTTGCACGATGAATAAATACAACAAATATAAGACGTGATTTTATTTTCACAAACAGTAACTTGACAAAAATATATACATAAAATAATACTATCACTCAAATTGTGCAATAGGCTCAATTTCACAGTTTAACATTTTGGCAAAATATCACTGAGGCTAGATCATGTTTTCTGTAACTAATAAATAATTCAAGTACGCCTTACTATTTATATATATGTAACGTAAATAAAAATAAAATATAAAAAAGCGTACATATAATTAAATTTTCAGTCATAGCTTACGATCAGTGTCTAATTCGTTAAAAATACTCTTAAAAAACAATATTAAAGTGTGTTCATCACAGAATATTAAAATAGTAAAAATTGTTCGAAACAAGTTCATATCAAACTATCACTCTTTCACTGGTATAGGTTATATCATAAGGAATATTTTTTGCTTGATCTATGTAAAAATAGGTCTTTAATATTAGAGACAAACTTATTTTGCTCATTTTTCACACGTAAATTTTACCATGAATAGAAAGTCGTAAGATTTGTAATGTGAGTTAAATAGTATATAATCTTAATATAGGCATGCTACGTAAAATAGGATAAGTTTTTACGCCGCCATTAAGTATGCAATGTATACAGAACATGTTAATTTGATGACTGCCTCATGATATTCCAGACGATGCATCGCTCCAATAAAATGGATCAGGTTAATTTCACAAACTGAAAACTTGCACCATACTTAAAACTATACAAAAAATTGTGTATATATTTTGTGAGATTATGTGATTTCTTACATTGTGTAAGTGAGCAAATATATCACTTCAAATGGCTGAAAACTCAAATAATACAAAAACAATTACAAATTCCAAAGTAAACGACTGTGCAGTATGTGTTTTCGATCCCCCTATAACAGAACCTGTCATTAACAAATGTCGTCCATACATAAAAAATCGTCCAGGAGTAATCACCCACTTCAAGCTTAACTCATGCTATTCATAGCATTTATCACAATCCATCTCAACTACAGATAAGTTATAAGCCACCAAAAACAAGCAATGATTTTCAAGATGTAATAAGATACAATATTTTGGAGGATGCGATTATGGCCACCTTTCGTTAATGATTTTTTGAAAGCTATTTAGGAGACTTTTGTAATGCATTTTTTTATCAATGCATACTTTTTTCCTTGCAAAAAAAGAAAAGCAGGCAATCTCTATTATTTCCGTTGAGCTTTAGACACTTAAGAACTGCCATTCGAATAAAAAGGAAAAAGGTATAATATATCTTTTCCATTTGTTGTTACAACATGTTTTAAATTTGGAGCAAACTGAACTAAATAGTATGCACACTTGAATTCTAACGAGTAGCATATAGAAGAGAGGTTTATAAAAATATTCATTAGCAAATATTATTAGTGAATTATTTGCATACTACATGCTATATTCAACTACATGCAACAATTTATTTTAGAGTATATAGGTGTATATATGAAGTGGATGATGTTTCATTTAAATTACGTCACCACCAAGTTTGTTTGTTACTTAATGGTTATTATTACAAGAATCAATCGTAGGTAACCTTTCATATTGCACAGCTTCCTAATATTATTTACAACACAGACTGGACTAGAGAAAGGTAGCTTTATGAACGACTGGTTACAAAATTTGACCTGCACACACACATGGTTTCTTATTTTAAATTTTTCGGACAATTGCATCTACGCAAAACACAATGTGATAGGTAAAGGTTCAATAAGGCAGAATATACAATAATTCGCCATTTAAATCAATAAACTTATGTCTCTTCGTGTGCATGGTGTCTAACCCTATAACCAGTTATACAGAAATAGCAATATCTTAAAATATTCTCAAAAACAATGGAAAACCGTTAGATTAAAAAAAGCGTAATTTTGTTCAATTTGTGTAGTGCATAAACCTAAAATTATCAGCATGAGCTTTAACAAAAAGAAAACTCAAAACTGTTGAATAGAGACTATTTTAACATATTTGCGTTCTACCACCATCTTGACAACCGTTATTGTCGAAAAACGAATAGGACTCAAGATTCAAGATGCTACAACAATCTACTTATTTCTTTAACTACGATGATAATCTTAATGTATAAAATTGGACGTATTTACAATCACAATGTTCCTTAGATTAATGAAAGCCTTACCGATGCGATTTTAATGATTGACGCATTATGGTTATGCTAATGCAAATATATTTGCATTGTCTCAGAATGATTAACATGTACATTTTAGATTAAAAGCTAAATGAGCTTCTTTGAGATAGCTAGACATCGATTTTGTTTCATATCGTATTTGGATATATCATGCAAGCCCGTCTTTTGAATAATTTCATTTCAGAAATCAATGAAAAATAAAAATAAAGGTAGTGGCTGTATTAAAAAAACTCTGCGTCTATCAAAAACTATATTTCGTCGCTCTAGTTCTAGCACCGTGTAACTTAAAAAATAGCTAAGCACGAACTTGGAAAAGGTCACCAAAACCCGAAAACTCGTCAGTAAACAGTATTTCAGACATTATGTGGTTTCATTCAGCGGCCAGACAAACATGGAGGATTATAACACATGCATAATATTCGATAGGATATGAAAAGACCCATTATTGCTCTCCTAAAAAGTTTTCAGTTTTGAGTTACACAAAGAACTTATGCGACGATATATAGTTTCGATCCGAATGAAGGGAGTGAAAGTTAACTTGTAAAATTATATTGAACTAGGGCTGATGTTCTTGTATTTTTTCTATATATATAAAAAAGTAGGTATTGGTGAATATCTATGATAGATATGCATCATTCGTAACAAGATATTAAGTAACCAAAAGTGGTTAATCACTAGTCATTCAATAACTGAAAATCACATTCTTTCATGACAGAATGAAACTCTTCTGAAATACGTCTACTACCTCAATCAAAATTAAGTGTTCTAGATGGTATACAGTGTATACTTATTTTTCAACCGTCTGAATCTCCGAACATTAAGTAAACTCTAACAAAAATATGTCATCTAGAGTTTCTAATGTAACAAAAGTGTTGAAACAGCATTTTACGCATATTCTGCATCCAACAGATGTTGAGATTCTATATGATTTTGGAAAGTTTGAGGGAAGCGTTTATTTAGAGCTGCAACAGTTGTAAGGTTCTGTTGATGTTTTACTATTAGCAGTATAATAACTGTTATAAGGGCTATGACGATGAGTCCAGCTACGATTCCACCTACTTTGAGAGAAACAAAATTAGTATCTGGGTTTTTATAGGAGGTTAAAGCTTCAAAGTGGAATAAAATGATTACAATTTATTTCTAGACAGTACTTTCCAAAAAGTCCCCCATGCTTCTTTTTTGAACGGGTCAAGTGAACTGGTGACATTTGGTACAATCAAATTAATGTACGAGTATGAAAACCATATTTTAGCGTAAATGTGGTAGTTGAAAACTTGAATATGGTGGCTGAACGCTATTTTAGGACATTTTTAAAATGGAACGGGGGTTATGTGATACCTCGTGTTGAAGCTCATTATGGATACGATAGTATAGAGAGATAACTCTAGATCAAAAATGGCGACAAGAAGGTTGACTCTGCACTTCCCACGCAACGCTGTTATCAGTTCAGTCAAACACGCCACAAATACCTATCACAATACTATAAAACATAACATCCCTGCCAACGATGCAAGGCAGGGTACGGCGTATGAAATACGACGATACATCGCATCGTCCCGACCGAAAGCGTGTATTGTCTATAAATATTCCTCTAGGTTACCATGGCAAATGTACGAGGATTTTTTTTCTGTAAATGGTTAGGGGCCTCTGAAACGTCAAAAAACGAAGTTTTTGCATCCTCGGCATAGTACTAACCTTGAGAAAAAAATTCATCCAAATTGAGCAGTATTTTCCAAGTTATACTCGGTCCAAAGATTAGCGGACAGACTAACGGAAATGAATTACTGTTTTTCGTGATATAGATATATGTCATATAACATCCAAAAAACATAATATCTCATTTTCCATTTTTTCGCGATTGCCATATTTCTCTCCAATAGAAGTGAAAAATTACCATTACTCAAAATGGCGAATTGACATGCTGTCAAAGTTGAACTTTTTGGCACATGGAATCGTTTATCAACAATCATCAAAGTGCTATAACATATTATATCAATATATTCTTCTTTTGGGACGATCTATCTGAAAATGTAGTAGAATATGAATCTGTCATTTTTTCAAAACTGAATGACTCGAAGTAAAAAAGCACAAAATTGACTCTATTTCGGAAGATAGTGACTTTATATTCTAGGGAATCAAAGTACTCATAAGGAATTCAAAAAGGAGGTATCACACGGGCCCCCATCCCATTTTAAAAAAAAATGTTTGTGATGGCACTCGGCTGCCATCTAGAAATTTTCAACTCCTGTTTTACGTTAAACCATAGTATTCATGCGTCATTTTTACTATTGCGTATTTAAGCTGGCTTAACTGGTTCAAAAAATAAGCAGAGGAGACTTTTGGAAAGCACTTTATGTATTAGAGAGCCAGAGTTAGGCCTTTTATGGTTTTGGCCCTATAAAAGCGCTGCCGCTAGCTCGAAGTAAACGCAATCTGGAAGCTAACTTTTTCGTCACTTTTTAAATTCCTACTATCACTATACGTGATCAATAACTGGTCTTCCAGAGTGCGCTATATTGGAGCCAGCTGCAATAAATACTGTACATGCAGTTAGAGAATTGTATGAAGCGTCAGACTGCACAGATACCGTACCCGTGTCCTTGATTCAAAACGGATGAGTTTATGTAAAAACTCCAAAGTAAGATGTGTTTTTAACAATAGTTAATTTGTTGCATTTTTGCCAGTTCAAAATCTGTGAATTTGTCGTATAGATTGATTGTAGATTACCCATAGACATTATTTAATCATAGTTAAAAACGTGATTGAAATTAGCACAACACCTATCAAATAACCAAACAAACCAAATGATGTTTCTACTGTAATCCCAAAAGATACACCAAACATAAGTTTAAATGGTATCCAAAGCATTAAAGTTATGCATTAGCATAACGTTTGTGCAGCTTACCTGTAACCATCACAATAGATCCCACATTGTATCTTCCTTGTTTATTATCATTCAAAATATCTACAATGTTTCCTAGTGTTCCATTATTAGGAATTTGGGGTAACTCCAAGATTTCAGTGAACAAGTTGAACAGGTCTACAGTATGGAATGGGGATACTCTATGCTGCTTTTTTAATTTTGGACCCCGAGCCATAAAATAAGGGTGCATGTCAGCAACATTGGTGTCATAGCCATGTACACCAAATTCAGAACTGTTGGTTACTGCAAAATAATGAGACAGTCAGAAGACATACACCACGTCACGTCCAAACCGGAAAATTACTACATACTTATTATTTGAATGGGTCAAATTAGCAATCTGAAATTCGAGGCGATTGAACTGTTGCACGGGACTATATTTTAATATATATATATATATTAGTTGAAAATTTTAAAATGGTGGCTGGACGCCACCTTGCAACATTTTTTCAAATTAAATGGGGGTCATATGATACGTCGTTTTGAAGTTTCTTCTGAGTGTTGTGTAAATCTAGGATATAAAAACATGGTCTTTCAAAATGCCGGACTGGCGAGCTGTCGAAGTGGAGAGTTTGTGTACAGTGACTCGCCTATATATCAACAACTAATCAAAACTTTATAGTTATATCAATCTTTTATCCTTTGGAAGAGTCTATTTTAATGTGCAATAAAATACGGGATACTAGGTTTAAGAAAAAATTGGCTGATTTTGATTTTTGGAAGAGAAGTATTGATAGCCTGCCAGGCCGCCATTTTGAAATGTTTTCATATTCTAGAAAGATCCTTGGTAGCGCGGTGGTCGGCGCGTCGAGCTAGCAACCCGTGGCTCGCGGTTTCGAATCTCCACCTCGGATGTTAACTCCTTGCGATGGACGTGGTTCAATATTAACAGGTACATCTCATCGCTGTAGATGGTTTATTATATCAGTTACGATTACAGATTATAGTAGTGACGGGTTGGCTTGCCAGCCTTAACTTCACTGCGACCCAACTGGATCTACTGTGACCATCAGTTACCATTAGATGGATCATGGAGTAGTACAGTGTTGGTACTACAGGGTCGAAAAAAACTACTTATATTCTAGAGTTAAACTGTTATAAAGTACTATAATAAGATTCAAAACCTGTTATCATAGGACACCCCATTCCGTTAAAAAACTTATTACAAGATGGCGCCCAGCCGCCATTTCGGTATTTCGAACTGTAATTTTTTAGCATATATGCAACGTAGCATCCATACATCAATTTCATCACCTTGAATCATGGACGCCCGCAGGAATTCTCAGGGGGGGGGGGCGTTCACCGGCAAGAGATGACTTTTTGAGAAAGTATACCTGCCTTAAAATCTATATGTTATACACAAAATCATGCTAAACATGCAAATGTTAAAGTCCGACCAGATTCTCAAGGGATGAGGGGCCGGGGGCATCCCTCTGCAGGCGCCCATGCCCTGAATTTCAACTTGCTAAATTATATGACCAATTCAAAAAATATCTGGGGAGGGGTGTTCGGACATCACTATATACATTTGTGAAGCCTTTCAAATGTTGTGCAGTCGATACTGACTCGTTTCTCTACAAGACATGAATTTATACTCGTACACGAATTTGCTGGCCCTGTATGGAAAGCAGTAAGTGTACAGGATAAGAACCTCCTCGAAGCTGAGTAGCCTCAAGTCGGTCGCTTCTTCTATAATTTCGGTAGACCTCGCCACTAAGATTGTCTCAAATTGCTTGATTCGTATTCATTCGCAAGACAGAGTCATGTAGAGCATGATAGACACAAACGTGCCACAGAGTGTTCAACGTTTGCCAGCAATAGTTAATGTTACTACTTCAATACATTGTAAGTATATGTATAATAAATAGTATGGCATGGTATTAATTGCTACAAGCTACAACAGACGGTACAGTTAATTAATTTGAGTAAAGATTAAGTCACAACTACATATTCTTCAAATATATGTTTATGAGCTTATAGTAGGTTTGTACTCACTTCATCTCTAGATATTATACAGGATGTCCCGAAATTGAAGGATAATCTTACAACTGTAAGTGGGTTATGTCATGGCCTACTACATGGTAAAGTTTTGTTATATTAAAAGACATAGTTTTTTGAATTTGGGTAAAATTTATGTTGCAAAGCAACTGTCCACCAGTTTATAAGACTTTTAATAAAACAAAATTTTACCATCCAGTAGAATATGATCTATCTGCAGTTGCAGGATTATCCTTCAATTTTGGAACAACTTGTATATTCTGCAGCCTTTCACCATATTTGGTTATTATATTGTAGTGTCCATTTTACTGAACTGAGAAAATAGTCTCAAAATATTGGTCCTTTTCAACATGACATGCTCTGTCCAAAATACCCAAATTGTCAAATTAGAATGATCAGACTGTTAAAAGACGACGATATTTGCAATAATGATTGGAATAGGGACAAATGTGAATATTTTATTCAACCTACATGTGAAATTGAATGCCTTTGCATATTTGGAGCAGTTTCTATGAGATCATCCAAGGCCCAACCAACATCTGCCATTACAAAGATTGGAGCAGCCCTTGGATTGTTTTTGTAGTGCCACTGTTTGGATAATCTTGCTTTTTATATACTTTAAAATGGCCATTTTTTATGGATGCATCTTTCAGTGCCAAGTATATTTCCTCTTCATGACCTAAAATAGATTTGTATATATTTTTTGCATGAGTTTCTTGCACCATTATTGTATCTATATAGTTTTGAATGATTTATATGGTAGGGGAAAGTGGGGCGCATTGATACACTTTTCATTTGAAATACTCCGGACTGCTTATATATGATTGTAAAATTTTACAATAATAATAATAATAATATTTATTCACTCAAGTTAGTATACAAAGTCAGTGTACATTTGAATTTCATAATTTGGCTTCATTTTTCCTTTGGGTCAGTAAGATTCATTTATGCAGCTATATTTACAAGATTTGATTCATGGGTTGGGGTACATTGATTCAAATATCTATGACTTTGATGTTTTTTTAATTGACAGAAAAAGATAAAAACACTAATTTTTTGTTAATCTTAAATATTTATTTTACATTGTAAGAAGACAAGTTTACATTAAACTTAAATAAACTAGCCGTTCTATTAGTGCCTTTAATCATAACAGCTCTTGGCAGTTTTAGGCATAAATCTGATAAATCAACCCTTGCAGTATCCAGGATATTTGGAAAAGTGAAAGTCCAAGATGTTGGTTTTTTCTAAGGTAGGATACTTCAAATTCCGATATACCAATTTTCGTAACCACCTAAGCAACATAATAAATAATTGAAGTCTTTTTTGGAAACTTTACGAGAATAAAGTCATCTTTGTCAATGCTTGTAGGTGACCTCATATCCTTTATTTTTTGCCTCGTCTCTTTTTCAGATCGCTTTTCATTTTTAATATTTTCCAACTCTTCAAGTCGATTTTATGCGGGAGTGGCTGTGTAAATGCGACTTTTTCCTTGCTCTCTTCGTATGTCGTTTTACTATCGCTGGATAAGGGCGAACACTTTCCGGAGTAATTAATATCTTTTGTTGTTGGGCATTTGAAGTGCTCGCTTCTTCACTTATTTGAAAGGTTCTTTTTTCTTCGTTTTGTATTGACTAGATGTGGATTGATTTTTATCGACATTTGAATTATTTGCAGAATAGGTTTCACATACCACAAAATCGTCACCTCCAAAAACCAATTTATTATAGGGCCATATTCCAGGCTTACTGAAACCTCTACAAATATTTTTTACTGTAAATGCATCAAGATATGCTGTTTTGGCAAGCTTAGGTATATTATAGATAGACAAGGTTTTCCCTGGATTGCCTTGGGGCACATTGATACACATCAAACCGCCCCAAGTTGTTGTGCATCAATCTGCCCCCAGTGAATAACCTCATAAAAAATTGATAGCATCCAAATTTAAAACAGTAAGGACCTAAACCAAAGTAAACCTAATAGTAAACTAGTTTATCTTATCTTTTAAGCTTTTTTGAAGGCAAAGGCACTAAAAGGCTGAGTACAATTTGTTTACAAACACGAACCATGAAAATACTTTAAGGTTGGAAAATTGTGAACATCTCCATGCACTGCGCTGTTGAATACTGACGCGCCGAAAATTTTATGTGTTACAAGAGGACCGAAGCTCCCATCTTGCGGTTACTAGATTAAGGCTGCAGAAAATTTCAGATATATGGTGTATGTATCATTGTGCCTCGTGCATCAATGCACCCCATTTTCCCCTATTTCGAACAAAGCTAATCAATTTTTAGAATCACAGTTTTGAAGTCTTAATCAGAGTGGATTTTTGAAGTTTATGTACAAAATTGACATTTAACAAATAATAAGGTCAAAATAAAAATATTATTTTTTAACCTATCATTTGAGAAATCATTCAGGTCTTAATGAAATGTTCAGCATATATAAAAAAACACCTTTCTGTGGGGTAATTTGGATACAAGGACTTGCTCCAGCCCATGTATAAGTGCCCTCCTTCATGTACTGAGTGATGTTAATGAAAGTCTGAGGAGTAATGGTGATCATTCCATGATCACTTAGTTGAATAACATTAACCTTATCTGCTAAATGGTGGGCTTCAAGTTGATCCTGAAATGACATGAATAAATAACATTCAAATACCCAACTCTATTACCAACTAACCTGTAAATATTTGGTAGCATTATCTAGCTTTCTCAGCATATCTTTGAATAGAGGAGCATTTGTACCAACTGCATGCCCATATGCATCTGGTTGCTCTATGTAAAACATAACTAGATTTGCTGGCTTTTTTCTATCAGTTATCCATGATATTACCTGGAAAATTAAAGCTGTATCAGTATAAAATTCTAATTACTTGATGAAGATTTCTTGAATCGCATGCACACAAAAACAAACTTTCAATTCATCTCGGTTTCAGAAATTCATACATTTATTCACTCCAAAGCAATGCTTTAATTTTAAAATACATCAATACAAATAAAAAAAGTAGCAAGAGTAAATTAAACTTGTTGTCCTTCACTTAGAGTTTGTAATAAATTAAGTAATGATATCAAGATATGTGTCAGTTTGAAAATGTTCAAGGGGAAATTGAAAAAATATCTTATGGTAAAACCAGAATTCATAGTAGTGAAATTTTGTATAAAAATATAGTCATGAAGACATAATATATTATGTGATATACTTGTAAAATAAATCTGAAACAAACAAATACAGTTCAACAGATATGTATATTATTAACTCTAAAAAACTTAATTAAAAACCGCACAGTAACCAGTTTGAAATAGTTTTACAATCTCAAGATTTTATACACTATTTCGATAACTGACTTGTGTTTTACTACTTAAATATTTTAAATAACATGGGTATCTGCACTTACTGTATCTACTCGTTTGTAAAATCCATCTTATCATCAAAATCTTGCCTATATGTAATATTTTGCTCTGGTATGCATAGTAAGCTCCTGGCCACATCATGGAACCCGAGTATCTACCATTTCCTTGATCTTCATTTAACCTCTGAGCAAGAATAATAGAAACTATGAATCCAAAGTAAAATATGTGACATACGAGTATTGTAAATCTACTCACCCAGATTGGCACAACATAATCAGAGTAATGAAACATTTGTTGCCCAATGTGCTCGACCCTCTTTGTCTCAGGATCATAGTATGTATTACCCAGAACACCGTGAGTTTCTGGGTACAAACCAGTGGCTATTGACTGATGATTCGGAAAAGTCTTAGTAGGAAAAACGTTTAACAAATAATCAGCGTAAGTGCCCTGCTTCTTCAATGATTCCATATGCGGAACGAGTTTAGTGTCAAAAAAGTTATATGAAAGGCGTCATAAGATACGATAATTAGAATAGGATGGTGGGATATACAATGCACACAATGGAATATTAAACAAAGCACAGAGAATTTTAGAAGCATACCGAAAAGTTAGATTTTGAAGGGACAATTTTAAAAGTAGTGAAGCGGTGGACGGTTGTTGTTATAATTTGACAAGCAGTGACGTTTACCCTAACCTTGACCTAAAATGACACTTGTCAGAACTTTCGTCCTTCGATAACCTTGCCGATGTTGCCGCGAGCGTTTACATCACACGACTAGAGGAGAAATGAGAAATGCTTCATTGTAGCAATCTATTTTATCAGATATTCGATCTCATTTAAT